ACTAAATACATGATCTACCCCATAATAATAGAATAAATACAGGTCAAGCACTATTCTAGCAGATCTCAGTATCTGCACACCACGAAGCGGGCGTTGATAAGTATCTACAAACTCAAGACAGATAATCTGACAGCTTGCGCAGAAAGGGCAGAATACCTGCTTGAGAGAGACCACTATAATTGTGCCTATACTGGCTATGGGGTAAGAATGTTTTTTCTTTTTTGTTTAGAACTGTTTTTCCTAACTATTTGTGACTGAAGTAATTCTAAAAAGGCTGCTAGGATTTTTCTCTTAGATTTCTCATACCAGAGATTTCAGAGATGAGATACGTACAATTTTATAACGGCAAGGCAAGGAGAGGCTAAATAGATGATGGGTTCTTAAAACAGATCAACAGTCAATTCTTGTACTTGACCACAGCTATAATATGCCATGCTCTATGCTACAGGCAGACCGGGGTCTTCAATGACAAAATTAACTTCACTAGTGAGAGTTTCAGAAGTAACTGCATCAGTTAACATACAAAAGGGGTCCACTGGAGATTATGGTAGGTGGGCCAATGAGACTTAATATATGGCTAGGCTGTTAGAATAGCATCTTCATACATGAGCAAATACATCTGGAAACTTCCAAAATATGATTCTGGAGTAGATTCAGGGGGTATTGGAGGCAAAAATAGTACCGGATTAATGACCTCATATGGAGAGAACAGAGGTATATTTGAATAATCTAGATGCTTTGAGGTGGGAATTTGGAATTGATTCAGAGTCAGTGGAGTCCCAGCTAATTCTAAATGGGACTGGCCATCAAGGAAGAGATAGGCCCTGCAGATCTGAGGCTGAGAATGCACAACTGGGTGCTAAAGACCAGAGTCCAGCTGTAGGTCCTGATAACCTGTGGGATCTTGAAGAGAGTGGGGATGAGGAAGATAGGAGTAGGACAGATTTTGTAGGTGCAAGAGGATAAGGTATTCTGGATATGTAGGAAAAAAAAATATCACAGTGCGGTTTCTAAGGGGCTACACCATGACTTCTTAATAGATTGAGTAATGTAAGAGACAATGAAATAAAGCCTGTTGTGAGAAATAGTCACAAAAAGCAGATGTAGCAGTTGAGTAAAATTGCAGATTAGGAAAGAGGTCAGAATAATTATTTATCAGGGGCTTACAATAATTAAAAACAAAACAAAACTCATGATATCTCAGAGTCAGAGTGGTACAGGGAGTTTCATGGACGGCACACATTAAACAGTAGAGATTTCATCGGGAAGGGTCTGGGGTCATTATATTGGAAGGTATCACTGAGGTAGTAGGCTGGAGATATTAGAGGAGATGGAAGGAAACCAGAATGCATGGAGTGCCTTGGTGACAAAGCATAATAAAGGTAGAGAGTGGAATTGGACTGGAGGAGAATAGGAAGGTATGCATAAATGTGAGGGATATCATAAGGATACCAGGAGCGAAAGAAAACTATAGGCAGATTCCGAAGAAAGGCCAAATAGCTTGGGAGACAGGGACCGGACAGGGACTGGACAGGAAGGTACGTGTAAGTGTTAGAGGTATCGGGAGTATGTGAGGAGAGAATGGAGATTGTGGGCAGATTCAGAGGAACAGCGGACTAAGCACAAACAGGAATGCAACTGTAAAAGATAAATTGTATTCAGGAGATACTGGAATTATGAAGAGAATCATGGGTGGGGGAGGGTCTGAGGAAAAGGCGGATTAGTGGACCAGCAGTAGAGGGAGGAAAGCACTATGGGACGGAGTATGGTGGATGAAATTGTACATGACTGGTATCGGGAAAGGAAAATGGAACGTAGGAAGTTGTCCAAATATATTGGGTGAGGGAGAGCCGAATCTGGATGGGGAGAGGGCAGGCAGATTTTCATCCAAAGGTATCCAGTATGCTGGACGAGATACATCTATGGCTGGACAGAAATGGTATAGGTGAGTATAGCCAGATTATCGATTGGTGTTAGGAGTGTCCAGTGTGTCCGATGCACCAGGCGCAAAGGAGGAAACCAGATCTCTTTGCCAATGGACCTTCAATTAAGAAACTTAAGTCAACTCCCTTTACAGAGATTTCCTGATCACAAGTACTACTAATTAGTAGCGAGATTGCTAGAATACAAAAAGTCTTTACAACTACCTCTTTACGACGACAGAAGTGTTCCCAGTCTTCTTCCACTGCCCAAGTCATAAGCTTCCTCTTTCAGCAGGTACAAATAGGTGGTCTAACTGAGAAAAATATCCTAAGTAGATTTGAAGCAACTGGCATTTATCCCTTAAATGTACTAAAGCTTTTACAAACCCTCTCCGGCTATGATTCCTATCAGACAAATTCAGAAAGCCCTACCACCTCCTCACCTCTATTTAAACCTCAAACACCTAAAACTGAGTCCGAGATCGCTCAACTAGAAAGCTTTGCTCAAAGCAAAATTTCCCAAAACACCCCACTCTCTCAAGATGCCTGTGCTGCTATCTGCTCTCTTGTCTACTCAGCCTTATTTTACTATTCTACTTTAAATCTACAAGATGAAACCAAACGGAAGAAGCAACAATACATCATAGAGGAGGTCTTAATTCTGGTAGGAAGGGCAGGAAAAGAATTAAGGTAGATAACTCCCCTATTTCTGCTGGTGATATGAAAAGGGTAATTTATACCAATCACAATAAAAAAGAAAAGCATGCAAAAACTAGTTTAGATTATTATACATACTTGTATACTAGTACATCTACTAAGCTTACAGAAATAGCTAGTAAACTGAAGCAGCAGCAGGAGAGGGGGAAAATGGGCATGATAGTACGAGGTACAAATCTGTGGTTCAATTGGAAATTGAAGAAAAAGGATTGGAGGAAAAGCTTGAAAAATACAAACGGTTAATGAAAGAAAAGGAACTGGAGTACCAGAAGTTGGGAACAGAAAAGAAAAATGCTCTGGATGGGGTAGAGATTTTGGATTTTAAAGATGGTGAAGGTGAGGAGGAAAGGCCGGAGGAGGAACCCCTTGGTGTTGAGGTTGAGGACGATGAGAATACCTGTTAATAATTGATATTGAGCAATACTCAATCGAGTTGTTTTGTATCACCATGTGTTTTTGCTCACTGTGGGGTATGTTATTATTTTATAATCGTATGATAGAATAATTATTTTCATCCAGATATGAAATATACTCTTCTATCATAGGGTCTGTAGATATAGATTCCAGAATCATATCAGATGAATCAACCTCTTGGTAAACCCTCACCCACCCTTGTTCCGGACATTAATCCCTGCGGGGAGATGGTGGATTGTATGAGCCTTAGTGAATATGGTACCCGTAAACGTTGTCCTGCGCCAGCGCAGCCATTAGGAGTCGAACTTTGTCTAAGAATTTCCAACGTGGGTGTCCGACTGTACGAGGGGCGATTTTGGGACAGTTGCCCTCAGACGCATAACCTAAGAGGGATATGGTAGAATGCACCGCTAAACTTTAGGCTTTATTGTGATCAGAAATTCCGATCGATTCAGTACTCGATCAACTCTTTGGGCCCAGTGGTTGTGATCGACCCGGCTCCGAATGTGAGCTTTTCCTGGGCATTTGGGGAATCCCAAAGATAACATGCCCAAGACTACCCTGCGCCAGAGTAACCGCACTCGTGAATGGCCATAAAGGGCGGAAATAAGAATCAGCAAGATCCTATGGAGTAGTCTGCAGTTGGTCAATAATAGTGGGGGGGGAAAAAAAGACACCGCCTGGTTGACATGAGCAACCCAGAGTGGATATCAGATGGATTATCGCACAAGCAGGAGGGGCATTCTGAGGTAGAGTGCAGTGAGGACCATGTAATTGGATTCAGTATGATACAGACCAGTCCTATGGGTTGCTTGCAGCCTAGAGTATTCCCCCAGAATCAACAATTATTGTCTCTGGAGGAAGGCAAGCAGCAATGCAACTGGTCTAGGTTGCTAATATCTGCAATGCCATGTTTCTTTTCATAGCATTTATTCTATTGATCATCAAAATCCCTACTTTGCCACTACAGGTCTTGCTCCCCCGCAACCACACTCGAGCACTTGCGAATGGTAGCGGTAGATCCTAATGAATACAATTGGGAAAACTTGTCACTCCTTATATCACCTCTAAACGCTGGCGCAATCACTTCCTATACCCGAGTAACTTGAGTATCCGTCTCTCTTCGCCAAAATTAACTTATGGTGAGTGACTTCTGTATCTGGACATTTCTTTCGCTTAGGAATAGCAAGTTAATCTTCTTAATACAGGTTAAGACCATGAAAAATCACAGATAACCATTGCTAACAAGGGTAATTAACAGTGCTAAATATATGTCCTCGACCACTGCTATGATACCTCTAAAAGTTAGACATACCTTTGGACCCCAATATCTCCATGAGAGCTTGAAGAGTTTTTGTTTTCTCTCTACCGATGTGTGCTAGAGTACACAATCACCTACTTTATCATATGGCAGAGCCATAATTCTGATTGAAGTGGTCGTTGAAAACCCTTTTGGGATTGCGGTTGGACAATGTCTTCTTGGCGAAGTATTCAGGGCACAGACGTCACTCACCATGATAATTACATGCGATATTTCCCAGAAATAAGTTGCTTCGGTACATAACCTGGCATACTATCATACCATAATTCTATAACCAATCTAGCCATTGTTTCGAGCGTCACCCCTTGAAGCTTCTCGTACTCGAGTAAGGCACTTAACACTTTTGGCGAACCCCCAGCCTAGAAGAGCCTCCCAAGTCCTCTCAATTTCCTGCCCCGCCGCAATGCTACAACCCATGATAAATTTATTCCCCACAGCAAATAAAATTACATCACTCGGCTTGGCTCTCTGGAGACGCCAATTGATTGGCCCAGCGATCGCTCCTACGGAGTGTCCGGCTTCAATTCGGCTGCGCGAGTAGCCCAACGAGTTTCTTTGTCCCAAAGAAACGTTGTTCCAAAGAAACGTTGTTCCCCTCCCGCTATCGTCATCTTCACTGCGTTATCACCCCCACCTCTCCCTCCCTCTTAAACTTCTGCCTTTATTTCCAGTCCTCACTCCCAATCTCCCCAAACCGCCAACCAAAAAATAAGACCGAGAATAAAAATAAGTAAAATGCTCTCCTTCCTGGCAAACCCACCCAAACGCACGCACACCGCCAGCCTCGACCCCCTCCCTCTCGTCGGGCACTACAGCTCCTCCTTCCCTATCCCCTCGAAACCCTCCATCATCGCCAACCGCCAACTCCTACCACCATATTCAGGACCAAGCACCTTCGGCACACCACCGTACCACTACCACCTCCGCCAATACAAGACCTTCACTGTGGAGTCTGGCAACCTACTCGTCACGGTTGACTCGGAGAAGACCGTGGTCAAGACTGGCGAGAGCGTGACCGTGCAACCGGGGCAGTATCATACCTTCCGCAACGCGAGCGAGAGCGAGGACTTGCAGATTCTGATCGAGTTGCCGAGGTTGGATGGGAATGTTGGCATGTTCGAGGAGAAGTTTTTGAGGAACAGCTTCAGTTATGGTTTGGATTGCAAGAGGGATGGGAACGTGGGGGAGCCTAGTCCTTGGCAGATGATGTTGTTTCTGTGGGATGCGGGGACCTTCTTGGCGTTTCCGTGAGTATCTTTCGGTTTTTTTTCACGTTGGTTAGGAGATGGTGACTAATTGAGGAGCGGGGGTAGGATTAAGGGCGTCCCCAAGATAATCCAGAAAGGAATATCCTGGGTCGTGATGTTTGTTGGCGGCGTTGTGATTGGGGAACGCTTACTGGGGTATAAGAGGACGTATCCAGAGTATTACAACGAGCCTTCGCGGGTTGAAGAGCTCGCTAAGGACGAGGGTGATGGGGCGAAGGCCGAGAAGGAAGACTGAGCCCTGCTTTGCTTTTCCTTTTTGTATTAACCTTTCTGCCCAGCGACGGGGAGAGCGCAAGATTCCATTCCAGTACATAATTTTCTTACACCCTTCCCCTTACTTCTCGCTATCCCCCTGATCAAATCAATACCCCTTCCAAGCACCATACGACACAAACTTCACAGTGACGTCTCATGATCAATACAAACCACTCACCCAGTAAATACTCTAAGTGTGCTATCCTTCCTTCCTTCAATTCCACCCCCTATCTACCATACATACTATCCCATCCCATACCCACCATACATGACAAAAAGAAAACGAAAAAGAAAACGTCAACCCAGTGACTCCGCGTGCGAAACGGGAATAGAGTAGTAATGATAGGTAATAGGTAAATAAGTATGGCGAGTAGTAATACCAACGACGAAGTAAAAAAATAAATAATAAAAAGGACACGGCGGGTGAGATAGTGGCTTTTGCAGAACAAATAGTAAAAGGAAAATTTTTAGAGAGTGTAGGGAGGAGAGAGATAGAGGGAAGAGAGGGTCTAACACCTAGTTTTCAAATAGACTGCAATGATGAGTTCACGAGATACCAAGTGTTCAATGGAAAGGTTAAGTGAGCAGGGGTTGGGAGAAAAATGGTGATAGTGCTTCAAAAGAGGTATAAATAAAAAGGAAAGGAAACTAGTGACACCTCTTGCCTAAGGAAAAAAAGCGAAAATGAGGAAAAACTATGATAATGATGATGGTCACAACAATGATAATAAAGAATTAAGAAACTACTTTAAACAGCAACGTACTTCCCCCCCATTACCTTCCTAATGGTATTCACCGCCTTCCACACCCCCTCCTCATCCGCGCCTGCAACGCTCTTGGCCTCCCCACCCTCGTCCGCGAACGGGTCCACCTCTTCGGCCTCCGCCGCCGCCGCGGTCTCCGGTTTCTCCGGCTTTTCAAAGGATGACAGGGTGAGTCCGCTACCAGCGGTGTTCGCATCTTCGCCGCTAATCTCCCACCGCATATCCACGGGTGTAGCCCTTGCCTGGCCCTCCGTCTGGAATCTCGCGACGAGCTTCTTGGCCCCTTCGTCGCCAGCCGCCGGGTCTATGAGGACGTCCCCGAGCTTCCACACCAGGCGGCCTCTCTCGCGGGAGAATGTTCCGGCGGGCTTACTCTGGCAAGTGGTCGCCGGCGTGCCTTCAATCCCGGCGGTGAATATAACATTCTTCATGGTGAAGGTCCCCGTAGCGCCGCTCAGGCGGCGGAAGCCCGGGTTGGGTTTCCAGTGAATTATGACAGAGGATTGGTGCGGTTCTAAGCGCCAGATGGGTGTTGCAATTATAGGCGCGAAGACTGCGACGTTAGCTTCATCGATGTGCACTTGGTACTTGAAGGCTACGGAGGTTTTGTGGATGTTTGCAAGTGACATTGTGTACTCCCCTGCACGGTCCGGGACTGATGAGATGAAGGCAGGGTTCGGCGCCACTTTTTCTAGAACGGAAAAGTTGTCCATGCGCACGAGCTCTGCAGGGAACGACTGGTCCAGGGATACTGGTTCGATAGGATTGTAAGCCACGGCAATTTCCCCAGTGATAAGTGTCTTTGTTGGCGCCCCAGCCTCGAACGACATACTGACAGATTCTATTAGTGAAGCAGATAGACCCGTTTCCGTCAATTCCGGATGTCTGATCGGCGAGCTAGCAAGGCTAGTCACGGATCGCGAGGATCTGATTGACAAAGTATCAGACCCGGCCTCGGACGCCACGGCCGAGCTCTTGGGTGTGAACTTTATTGGGGTAAGGGGCGGCGATGAGGGAAGGCCTTCTACTGGCTCAGGCGCCGGGTTCGGGATAAACATGGTGTTCCTAACATCGCGAGCATCCCGCCGTCCTCTATTCCTCCTAGAAACAGTGTTTTGCTAATGAGAAATGTCAGCAAGAAATACCCCCAGTGGTTGTGTAGGAAACACATACCGCTCGTAGGGTTGTCGCTACTTTAGAAAGTGCTGCATCAGCTTCCTCTTCTTCCTCTTGAATCACATCATTTTTAATCTCGACCTTGAACTGAGGTTGGGATGGCTCACTAATTCTCTATTAGCCTGGAACGTGAGCCCCCGGAATAGAACTTACTCTGCAGTTTCATCGTCTGGTAGTGCACTTCCACCAATATCATGCACTGGTGGTGGAATGGTGTACCCTTCAGCATCCCTCCGTGGCTACAAATCGTCAGCGAATAATTACATTACCAGCAATGGAAAACCCACCTCTTCTGATGTTACTAATACAGATGGCGTAGGAAGTGTCTGTGAGGGGCCGGCAGCCGAAGCCGTGGGGGAAGCCGGAGGGTGGGCATCTCCGTTCTGCGTTGGCGAAGGCGGTATGCTCCGTGCGGTCGATGGCCTAGGAGGCGACCCTCCTAGTGGTACCGCCAAGGAGCTATTCTCTCCTCTAGACGGACCAAAACCATTGTTTGTAGGATGAGGGGATGAGGGTAGAGGGGGGTGGACTTTACCGCCCCCTAGTCTCTCCGAAGATCGCTTACCGGGAGATGCCGATCTATGGAAGTAAGGTATCGAGCTATTCCGGTTACGCGCTCTAAACACAGTCCCTATCCGTTTAAGCCCCAGACCGCCGCCCCCAGAAACTTCACAATGTTAGCACGTTGCTATACCAAAACCCGATTGAGACGAGAGGACTCCTGTACGAACCTCCCCCTGAACCCCCACCGGAACCGGAGGACTGTACACTGACAGAGTCATCCGTAACAATAGATGGAGTTGAGGACGGCATACCCGTTGTTGCGCCGCTACTAGCCGTTCGACTTCTCTCCCTTTCAATCCTTTGCTTCCCAACAGTAGCCTTATTCGCGAATCCCCTTATCTCATCCTCCGTACTGATATCCAATATGATGTTCAGAGTGGACTCCGCGGACTGCATACTTCGCTGTGACTGATCCACCTCCAATGTTTGCCAGGTTGTCAAAACATCCCGGAGTTGATTGACCCGACTCTCATCTGCGGCCTGGAATTTCTCAAACACAAACGGCGCCTGACTGTCCCATTCGGCCAATGCATTGGAGGCTGCCGAAGCTGCCTCGGCGACTTGATGCGCCTTGGCTTTTGGACCCCGTTTCTTCAGTTTCTCAACCTTCTCCTCTGCCGAGTCGACCGCTTTGGCTACAGCGGCCATGTTCGTCTCTAGATTTTTCATTCCAGCCCATTCCTGATTTCGTACCGTAAAATCGCGTAGCGGGCGTTCGACCTCGGCATCGATTTTCTGAGCGAACTCCTGGTGGGAGGATGCGACGGAGTGCGTAGATTGTACGATTCGAGTCCATGGACCTTGAAACACCCTGAAAATGAGGAAACGTGAGGAGTTGAAGTCAATTGGCATGCCATTGGTCATGTCTTACCCTAAATCTGACCTATCGCCCGATAGCGTTCTTTTGGCTAGCTTATTCAAGCCTTGAGCGTACAGTTCCTCGACTCGTCGTCGCTCCTATTGGAACAATGTAAACATGAAATCCCCACACTCGGGAAAGTTCGTATAGTGATTTTAATGGTGAAGTAGAAAAACAACAATATACCTGAAGCCAATCCGCGATTTCCGTGTTTAAAACCTGGACCCGGTGTAGGCGATCCCTCAGGATCTTGACCGCAGGAGTAGGATGGACAGAGCCCTATTCCGAGAACAACCTCTAGTCAGTAAAGCGAATGTAAAACACGATGGCTAGCACTCTCGGTGGACAATGGGGAGCTGCGTAATGTAAAATTTCGCCGTACCCTGTGAGGAAACAAAGTTATCAAAGGGGGGGATACCAACCACGATACCCGGGTATTCTGAGCGGGACAGCTCCATGTTCAAGTAGGACCAACGATGGAAAGTACTGAGCTTCCGAAGCAGCGACTCACAAGAGAGGCGCCAGCCGTGATAGATTTTCCCCAAGGGGGCACGGATGGGCTGGCCTAGAAGGTGATGGAGTATTACGGGTTACGGATGTTATTGGGTCCTAGAGATGACGGGCTAGCTGGATGATGTCTGGTCAAGTGTACGCTGCTTCTGCGTGCGTGTGGACAGAGGAAAGAGGCAGTGGGCTTCAGGGCTGTCGTTGTCGTGGCTTCTGCCGGTAATCGGGAGAATAGATGGGAGTGTAAGGAGGGCAAAGAAAGATTTTAAAAGAGTGCGAGAAGGAAGAAATAGTAAGAGTTAACCTTTTCCCCCTTTATGATTTTTCCGCCCCTTGCCAGACAGACAGCCAGAGTGTCGTCACCTTTGAGAGGGTCCCCCGTGATTGCTATGGCTCCCGACTGCTGGAGTTGGTGAGAGTTTAGAGGAATAATTTATTCTATTTTTCCCTCGGAGGGAGGAGAAGAGTGAGAAATTCAATTGAAGGGAAGCAGCATTGCAGCCGGAAGCGTAGCCATGCAGCCGCGTTGTGGCGTAAGTTGCTGTACAGCCCTGAACTGCCAGCAAAGTCGCCTTGCACAGGCTCTCTCCTCACCATCAATTTCTTCGGGATCTCGGAGGGAGGACAAAAAAGCTGGTGAAACGACAACTCTCGCTCTACAGTAGTTATGTTGCTAGAATGTTTTTTTTCTCTCTTTCTCCTCTCGCGGTACAGTCACAAATGAATGACCAGGTAAATTGCCTTTCTCAATGGAACCTCGAAGAACCCCGTACCATGGGTGTTATATCGTACGATACCGTGTATCGGTTCTCGCGCGCCCGCGAAACGGGCCAGAGTTATCTCTCACCAGGGATCACGTCAATTGTCGCCGCATCGTTGCCATTGTCAAACCCTATGCCACTCCCGCGCTCTTCGCCATCATGCCCAACTTCACTCAAGCCAAATCCAACACCTATCAATAGTGTATGATTTTCACAGGTGCACTGGACAACATCGAACCCACGCTCTCTCTCTCTCTCCAGTCAAGCTCGTTCCATGTCACCATGGCTGATTAACTCTCGCCATTCATCGCCAATGAATCTTGAGGGATTGCGGGGGATGAGGCTGTCTTGGCGACGCAAGGTCCATTCGACCCCTAATCTTGCGCCCGTGAAGCTCAAATTCTGGTTAGGGAGCCCTTCCCTTCCCTACTGCGAATGATCAATCGCTAATTTAATCCGCCTGCCAATGATGCGATAAGGGGTCACTTGGGTGCTGGAGTTGCATTGTTAGAGATCAGTTGTGATATGATAGATGATGTTTAACTCATTTTGTATGCTGGCACCGTGCCTGTCAAGTCATGGTGTTTCAATGTGCGGCGTGGGAGCGGGAGCTCTAACTGCCACACCGTCGACTTCAGCCGGCAATACCTGGGCGAGGTTGTAGCATGTTTCCCACACGCGAACTTTTGACGCTCAGTTCGCCATGATGTTGCAGCGCAATTCGCAAGGATGTACGAGTGACATTTGATGCTCAAAATCATGTTTACTGTAAGTTAAGGATCTTATGTTGCCAGTACTGGTATTGTGCACGCGGTAAATCTTTGCAAAAAATGACAGGAAACGGATTTCACACAGCCACCCCCATCTGAGAGCCATCCTGTCAATATGACAACAAAGCAATTACCGGTATGCCCCGGTTGGCCTCCCGCTGCAAATTTCAATTGCTCTTTTTCACTGGATGGGGTTAGCCTGGCGGTTACGCTTGGCAAAGCTCTTGAAGGATCAAATCGACTGGTCTTTGGATGGAGAAGCCGGTATTCTGGTTCCGCGTCTTTCTTAGAGGGGGAGGGGAAATGAGTAAAAGGTCCACAGTTAGATTACCAGATTTCTCTCTCTCTCTCTCTTTCTCCTCCTCTACCCCCTCAATTTCTTTGCTCTCGAGATGACTGCCACGTAACAAGATCTGCGATGAGATAGCTTGAGCCTGCCTACCAAACACTGCCCGAGCGCTGTATTGTACCCAGTTCACTTCGAAAGGCTCCCCTTTCTTTTAGCTGAGGAGCTAAAAGAAAGAAGAAACCGGTAATTGGAAAAATCCCAGCAGCGGTGATATTATATGATAAATTACTATCTCGCTTCGCACGAAAGGAATCTTGAAAAATCCGTGAGGATTTCCTTTCCCATATCTTCCATGATACCTCCCTCTTTCGTGACTGTTGACAACTCAGGGCTCTGAAGCGTTGTCTTGGTAACCAATTCCTTATTCTCGCCCCTACGAACGAGTCAGTAGTCGTCGCCTAATGAGACTCTCCAGTTATCCCGTTTGACGTCCCCTTTACCACCTTTCTCATTATTGCCTTCACTCTATTGTATTTTACACTCTTGCTAAAGTCATCATACTCCCCCCCATCGTAACCGCTTTCCCCGCATCTACCACCATCTGAAGGGCAAGGGGAGGATTCTCTTCCCGTACATAAAATTTGGGCGAAATTGATTGCGTATATTCTATTACTCTTACTCATCATGACACCGTTACCGTCGCAAGAATGGAAAACCACTTTCTCTTTTAGGGAGAGGGTTGCCATCGTCGAGCATATGTTTGTTCTCCTTTTCCTCCACCTCATCTCCCCCACCAACCAACCAACCAGCCAACCAAAATAACATCACGACACAATCATGCATGGTTTCGCTTCAAATAATTTTTCCTAGGAGGGAGAATTTTTTGGCTCACATGGCCATCGTAGAGCCTCATTATTGGAGTCGTCCGATCCGAGCCTCGAGCACTCTCGTGCTCTATCCTCCGCCCGAGCTATCGAAGTCGAGTCCCACGAGAAGTCTTTCTCACAGGTAATTCCGCTCCTATTCCTATTTAGCAAGCTTGTTCTGTGTCAGGATCTATTTGATACTTTACTATCAATTATCTGCAATCATGCAGTGGCAACCAACCGCACAGATTCTCACTCGTGAAATCTATAGGAGGAATACACCCGCCTTTGGAAGGCCAAACTACAAGAGCTTAAGGAGAAATATGCAGAGAAGCAGCTGGAGACTCGAAGTCTCTCTGCAGTTTCGGGATCCGGCAGTGCTTTCGATGATGCTGCTTCCCAGGACATCCCGCACGCAACAGATAGGGGAATCACAATTGGCCGCTTCATTGGCTGCAGACATCACAACTCGGGGATCTTCTCGGACGTCTATAAAGCTCTATTAAAGCCCATGACTCTCATGTCGCCCGCTCAATTCGTCGCCTTGAAAGTCACTATCCCTTCTAGAATGGCCCCACCGCACGACTCCCACCGTGAGGCCAGAATTCTTCAAAAATCCGAGCACAGATGCGTCGTCAAGCTCCTCGAGAAATTTACGCTGCCGACATCTCAATTCGTCATGGTGTTTCCTTTCTACAACTATAGCCTCGACACACTCCTCAAGTCAAATGCCAAAATTGCCGGTGACCAGATGGCCGATATTTTTCAAGACGTCCTCTGCGGTCTTGAGCATATTCACTCGTTGGGGATAATCCATCGCGACGTCAAACCCTCCAATATTCTCCTCATGGGCGCAGATGGCCCTGCCGTCCTCGCGGATTTCGGAATCGCCTGGTCATCCAATGATCCCGAATCCGAGCCTGCCGAGCACAAGATTACGGATGTGGGGACTACCTGCTATCGACCCCCTGAGATTCTTTTCGGGAACACAGCTTATACCACATCACTGGATATGTGGGCTTTTGGGTGTGTCATGGCAGAGTGCTATACAGATGGCCGCGAGTCGCTATTCGATGCTGGTGACTTGGGCAGCGAGTTGCAGCTTATAGGGTCCATCTTCAGGAGGCTTGGGACGCCTACGTTGGAAACCTGGCCTGTAAATATCCCCATCACCTTAAGAAGCTCCTGCTTACCTTGCCTTATGTTATAGGAAGCATCAAACTTCTCCGACTTTGGTAAGATATGCTTCAATAGTTTTCCAGCCCAGAAATGGGAGGACATCTTGCCTAAAGCGCCAAGGCCTGTCACGGAGCTTTTATCTCAGTTGTTAGTTTTTGAGAGTGGGGATAGGCTCTCTGCTACTGAGGTACGGCCTCCCCATATATGATGCTACAATATATGCTGATCCGCTAAACATAGGCGTTGGCAACCGATTTATTTGAGTGAGGGGTCGAATCCCACAAATAGCCGTGATATATCTTGTGGGTTCCCGCGGTAGGGGTTCGCCTAGAGACTATTAAGGAATAATCAGCTATGCCGATAAGGAATGTTTCCTCTTTCTCTACTTGTTGTACGTAGTCTCAAACACCATACGAATATTATAAAACCTCCAGTCGCAACAAGTGAATCACAGGTCCAGATGGCGCTGTTTTACAAATTATTATGATAATCAACCCCACAGCATCGCACAGGTTGCCAAAGCATTAGGTTGGGATCCTCTTCACCCTCCTTCTCTGTTGCATACCCAAGGTGTTCAGGGCACCCGACCCGGGTCATACGGGTCGGGTCGTTTTGCAAACGCGGCCCACAACTTAACACCCAAGTAGGTGGGCAATCCATCCGTCCATCCACCCATTCTGGGCCATCCATGATACCCAGCGGGCGCAAGTGATCATAGTTATTAGAGCCACCCCTGCCCACGGGAGGGCCTTCCCATATACCAAAGTTACTCTCTCCCAGGGCACCACCGCCGGCCATTTGGTATCAGCTTTGTATTCTGCAAATACCCGGATGTGGGGGGCTGGAGGGAGGGAGGGAGGGAAGGAGAGAGAGTAGTCCACCCTTACTAAACCTTTTCTACTCGTACTCCGCTGCTACTACTACCCCTATACCTGGCTTAGTAGCAATCCAGAACCTTTTTATCCACCGGCAGGTGTTAACTTAGATCAGTCATTTCGTTCTGATGGGGTTTGTCGTGGATAGATGGTTGGAAGCTGTGAATTGCTCTCTGCTTGTGTGTGTGGTAACTAGTGTGCGGCTGTATATGGCCTGTGCCTTACTACTTACTGTGCTAACAATACTTACTGTGCTAACAACTGGCGCCGCTGGTTAGTTGGTCGTGAGCTCGCGAGATAGCATACCGGTATGCTGCAAGTATCTTCCGGGTCGGGTGCCACAGTAGTGTGCGGTACTACCAGAGGGTGCGGGGGATATGCACGAAGTAGGGTGCGGTAATCGCTTCATTGTATCACGATACATACCGTCCTTTCCAATTGAGAATTCTGCCATCCATGGCACATGCGGGGGCTATTACGAGTGAGGTGTTATGAACTCAAGGTGCTAATTTATTGCCATTATGATACCAACACTGTTATATTATTATAGCAGATGGCGGAAAAGATATCATGTTAAACACCACTGGACTATTCACACCCAATCAACCCATCCATCCATCCCGCCCTGTGATAGTTACAATCTACACCACACCTCCTTACTTCATCACCAATCAATCCCTTACATCCCCTCCGGAACCTAAACCAGCCAACTTTCCCCAGCCCACCCTACTACCCACCATGACCACGGGTAAGACTTGAAAGCAAGAGAAAAAAAGAAAAGAAAAAAATACAAAATATCGATCAATAGAACCAATCCCCAATCCAAACCCCATCCATTAAAATTTAAATACCATTCCGCATCCCATCCACATTTCCGCCATTTGGCACACATATCCCATCCGCCCATTCCATCTATCCAGCCAGAGTGGAAGTAAAGTGAAAGAATAAAAAGTAAAAAAGTGTAAGGAGAAAAAAGTTACAAGAATTGAAGGGGGTGCTATTTCGGCGTTCCGGGTCTCAGGCATATTGAAAGGCATTTGTAGTAGTAAGAAAGTAGAAATAGGAGAAGACAGTATACGGTACACGTTCCCACTCCAGGGTATTGATTTAATTCCTACCCCTCCACTTCCGATGCGGGCACGAATTACCGCTACTGCTAACCAGCTGCACATAAAGAGCGGACTACAAGTAGTCCGCACACGTCAAGACGCGGAGAAGACACAAAAGAAAAGAAAAGAAAAGAAACGCATAAAAGCGAGAGCGCCACCGACTGAACACCAATTGTTTAAGGGTTTCCCCCCCGATAGAAACAACGAGGGGGACGACAAAAAGGGCACACATCAGGACGTGTAATCCCTTTCCCCCTTCCTCCTGACAATTGATTCTCCCCTAGCCGATCATTTCTAAGTCGTGTGGTTGATATACCATGGTTTTTTTTTCGAACTTATTAGGATTGAGTTTTCTCATTTACTTATTCAAGGATACCAACCAGGCCAGAGCCAATTCACATGGCGTGGAAGACTGGCTGCGCGTGCTCCGGCTCGTGACCGCTAGTCTGCTCGTTCGACAAGGGAGAGGGGCGGACTGGGGCCACGGCGGGACGGGGTGGGGATCCAGGGAGACTCTGAGGCTTTTGCGCAGGGGAAACCGGTGTGGACGGTGCAGCCTCAGAAATAACAGCGGGAGTCGTGGTAGTCACAGTAATCTGAGAAGGCCCAGCTCTAAGGGCAACAGGAGACTGAGTGATAGGAGACTGAGGGCGTTGAACCGGGCTTGCTGGAATAATCCTAAGCTGAGCCTGCTGGGTCGCAGTAGCCGGGCGGTAAACTTGCTTGACATAACCCGCTGGTGATTTTGGATGAGCCTGGGCAGGCGATTGGGGACGCATTTGGACTGGAGACTGAGAGAGCTGACTTCTATTAGAGCCCGGAGATTGAGCGCGAGGGACACCGGAAGGAGAGTAAGGACGAGGAGAACCCTGACTTCCTATCGGGCTCTGAGCACGGCCGTTAGGATAGCCTGGACGAGGAGACCCTGGGTGACGTGGCTTCACAGGTCTCTGGGATAGACAAGTGCGTGGACAGACACCTTGTTGCGAACGATCAAGGCGGATACAGAGAGCCTACAAAGGGTTAGTAATCAATGTAAAACGATATGACATTAAGGAATATCAAGCGTACCCATCCATCATCATACTCATACAACAGACGAACGAGCTGACCAACACGGAGTCCAAGTTCATCTTCCATAGAAGGCTTAAAGTCCATTTGAACACGATGCACAGGCGAAGTGTTAGCAACACCAGCAGGTCCGCCAGCGACGGGAGTTCCGGCAGCAGAGTCACCACTATCGGTATATTCGACCAACGAAGAAGAGGAGGAGGCTGTGGGAGAAGTCTGAGTCTTGGCAAGAAGAGGAGCAGTACTATTGGTAGTGGTAGCACTAGAAACCGGAGCAGATGAAACTTCCCCTTCGCTCTTAACGAGGACCAAGGCAGGAGGAGGAGCTTTACGCGATTCAGATCTCGTGAGACCTACGGGAGATGAAGCAATGACGGGAGCCCGTTGCTGTGGTCGGGATTGGACTTGCGCTTGCGACTGTCGTTGGGAAACAGGGTCAGCAGCGGGTGGAGTAACAGTCAAATTAGGCAAGAACTGAGTGACGGGCCTAAGAGATGGAACCCTGGGTGCCTTCTCAGAAGTGACAGTATCGGCGCGCGAAAGGTTGTTGTTGCCATTCATGTAAATAGTAGCACCCACAGCAGCAGCACCACCAGTCTTCTCATCTTCAGGTTTTCCATATGCCTCCTGTGTCTTCTTTTGCGATCTCTTGCGGTAGACGAATGCGAGAGTGAAACAAATGACCAAGAAAACTCCAACACCAGCAACTGCCAGCCCAACTGTTGCACCAGTCGACATTCCTCCCGACGCAGACTCCTCTGAGCTAGGAGCAGCAGAAGAAGTAATAGACGCAATCGGAGCAATAGAAGTCTCGGAGGCTGACGCAGAGGTCGAGGTCAACGCCAAAATAGATTCCGAATTCGACGCTATGGCAGAGGTGCTGGTCGCAAGAGTGGAAGTCGGGCTAGCCACCTCGGTTGATTCTACATAATTTCAGTAATCCCCCCTTCCAAACCGATCAACATCAGAGAAAGAAATCCATGGATCCATACCACTGGTCGAGCTTATCGCTGATTGAGTCCTTATAGCCTCAGTAGCTTTAAGCGTCTCGCTTGTAGTCGCTCGCGGTCTCTCAGACGACGCGGCCTTGCTAGTAACCTTAGGGGGAGCAACTGTAGTCGGACTCGGACTAAGCGTCTTTTCAACAGCTTCGCCCAAAGTGGTGAACCCAATAACCTTTCCCCCTCCACTAACGGACGCAGTGACAAAAACGACATCAGTAACGACCTCAATCCCCTCAACCCCCTCTCTCCTATGGCGCGCATAAGCATCTCTGCGCATAATGCGGGAACGACGGTGATGGTTATGCGGTTCCATCTCGACCAACAGATAGTAAACCCAGTACCGAAACCAAACAATAGGCCTTCAAAAGGTAAAGCTTGAATTTGTGTAAATGTTGTTTTAGAGGGTAGTAAGGAGATTATCAATCAATTGCTTGTGATATTACTCTGCCCGCTGGGGAAAAATAAAAATAAAAGACGAGGTGACCCAAACACGCGATATCCGTCTAGTAATTTGTACGTTGGTAGAAACACAATTGGCTCCTTTCGTCACGTCACAGTAACAAAAAGAGAGACTGAGCCGAAAAAAAAAAAGAGGGTAAAATTCGAAGTTTGCTGATAAAGGAAGGACAGCTAAATGTTACGAAATTTGTAAGGTAGGAAGGAAGAGGAGGAGGGGAAGGGGAGCATTCGAAAAGGAGAGGGAGGGCGGAAGGAAGGAAGGAAGGGAAAGGGAGACTTTGCACTTGGTGGGGAAGCGGCCAAAGAAAAGGAGACCCACGAGGGTAGGCGTTGGGTTTGGGTGGGTGGGCGGGCGCGCTTGGGTACTGGTATCACTGCTGCTGCTCCTGGTGCTGTTACGACGGCATCCCACTGGGCGAGGCTCCCCCCGACCCTAGACAAAGTATCATATTTCTACGATACTCACCCACCGCAAGAGCCACGAGCAACTCACATAACAAGATCACTAGTTGGGGGACATTGGTCCACTGGCAATGGATTTAGAGCGTGCCTAGACGAACATTCACTAACGATGCCCTCTCTCATCTCCCAACGCCGCCGGATACAAAAACAGCGATATCATTTCAGGGGTACTCGAGATTCAATTGGCCAATTCAGTCTCAGCATCCAGGGATCATGGAAGGAAGGAATCGACACCAGAGGCAGCAGCAATTCCTTCGGCTAATTCGCTGAAAGAGTAAGGAGCGAAAAAGAAGGAAAGAAAACAAACGAAAGAGCAAAAAAAAAAAAAAAAAAACTAATACAAAGAAAATTTCCTCAAATGGATAACAGGTAAAAAGTACCAGCACGAGCTGGGGTAGGGGGTTATTGAGCGGGTAAGTTGAAATTGCTCCAAAATCTAGAGATATCCTTCATTCAATTGGTCAATCCGAGTAAAGTATCGGTACGAGCACTACTCGTAGTATCATACAACCCCCCCCCCCGGCCCAAACTCCAGTGATTGAATACAAGTGTGTGTGCCCTGTGACACCACCTTCATACTGGGGGATCTCTCGTGTTTATCCAGCAGGATATGTGCAGTGAAGTGCGCATCGTACAGTACTCGGATCAGAGAGAGAGGAAAATACAGAATATGTTGCTCCCCGTTCACCTTGGTCATTCGTGCAGTCCATGCTAGATAGCGGTAGCATTATGACACGGGATCTAACGGAGGGCAACATTGACTGACCAACTAACTAACACGTTCGCTTAGTTTCGTCGCTTCCTCTCCACTCGAGTATTCGGGCGCGAAGGGAAAGTTGGACAACCAACCACCCATGTTGGGGTAGGCTATCGAATTCAAGGCGCACAACCTATAGTTTACCGGTACCTCGAGGACCCTACAGTACGAGTACTAGTACAGTACGAGTACTTGTCCATCCTCCATACCCCCAGCAGTACCAGTACCTGTACTATACTGCATTCGAGTACCGGTACCTCATTACGCTCACCATACTACGGTAATCCTACTCGAGTACTGTAGGGTACAAGTACAGCGGTACCCAAACGCACGGAGAAATCCGTCCGTTCAAACAGAATAGGGGGGGAGGTGTGATAGCGCGAGACGTCGGCTACCCCATGCCCTGCTCTCTCCCCACCTCCCTCTACTATCACCATTGTACTCGTACTCGAGTACAAGTATCATATCGAACCAGCCAAACACTCCTCCCCATCTGGCGTCATGTCAGACTTCTTTCATTCTCTCCCTCCTATGACTTGTTTCCTCCTTGCCTCTCCCTCACTCTCACTCGCGAGCGGCCGGGCTGGCTGGGAGAAGACCCCTGTTGTCGTCATTTCACCTTTCGTCAACAAATCTCCGCTTTAGTTTAGCCTCACACGACTGATCCACGCTAGCGCAGGTACTCGAGTACTGTACTGTACTGTACCTGCACCCCCTTCCGGGTGAGAAAGTGCCTGATTCGCTGCCGTGTGCTACCTGAGTACAGTCCTGAAATAGAAAGACACTCACCCACATGCACCAGTCTCTGAGCACCGCAGGATGAATGGATGAAGGGAAATTGAATGTTCCGATGGGATCCATTTTGAGAAAGATCACATTCCAACATTCATGAATGGTACAAGTACGGTACTATATCTGGGAGAATGATGATGCAGACTTGTGAATAATGACGACGTTGGTCGCTATTTCTAGCATCGCACTGGACTCGACGGGATCGTGCGTGCAGTACTGTACTCTACTCTACTAGTACCGTACTCGGGCACAGTGGAAGTCTGCGTTCAACGTCCAAATACGTTGCAAAGCACCTCTACCAGTGTCGTACAAGTACGTACCTGTACCGGCAGCGTTTTCTGGTGCACAGTGCCGCATATTTCCCAAGAAAAAGTCGGATTGGAGCCGCACGCGCAAGGGCAACCGAGCCACCGCAAGGTCGCCTAGGTCGCCACACTTTAAACAACAGCTAATGACAATTGGGAAGGACGCCCCGGCGAGCGAATCCGACTTTTACGAAAAGGCACACGCACTTTACGGTACAGCACAATACGGCAGTAACAACCGTATCACCGGCAGATCATCGCATCAATCCATCAGCTACTCGTACTCGACTAAATCGCCGCAGACACCGTAGCAATATGGGAAGCACAACCACAAACAACATGCAAGAATCACAAAAAATGGCCATCCGCGCCGTTCTTGCGGACAAAAGGACTAGAATTGGGAAAATGTTCAAAATACCGGTACCATCCATGACAGGGGGGGAGGTACGTTCAACACTATGGTGTGCCCTCGAAACTTCAAGTTGCACAAAACTTGAACCTTGCCCACCAAGGCGTTAGATTGACAACGTCGAATCAAGTGAACAGCACTGCAGAAGATCGCAGGGAAGAAACAAATTTGGAAGTCTGATAAAAAGACCTCAAGAGTCTCTGTTTTTCTGTTTTCTCCGTTTTTTTTTACAACACCTTCTAAATATTTACAGTAGCTCAATTGTCGAGGCACGGTATGGTACCGTATCAGGACTCGTATCTCAGGGTTAAGATATTTTTCAAGTTGGGCCTAATGGGGAACGATCCCATGTCTTGCTTGGCCAATTGGCTTTCATTGCTTCAGGAACTTCACACCGGTATCAAGCAGGGAAAAGTGTCCCACTTTTAGTACGGTAAGCAAGGGAAACTGAAATATAACTTTTCGCAAATATCCTACTCGTACGAGTATTGGTGCTGAGAATTACAAATACTCGAGTACTGTACCCGCAGAAACTGCTGAAGCTCGCAGTCTCCGTCCCAGGATGTCTTAATTCCGGGCCAGTAGGATACCGTATCCTATTGGTGCAAAACGGTGGATTGCGGTTGGCTAGCGCTCGCTGGTACGAACCGGACGATAAGAAACGCCGACGGGAGGTGGAATCTGCACGCATCCTCCCAGGTTGGGGCGGGGTTAACATGTTCCCAGGACGGAGATATTTGTGTTGAATTTGAGCAATGAACGGCAAAATACTCGTGAACTAGTAGTTGTCTTTTTGTTCCTCAAATAGCCAAAATAAGTCTTTGAAAAAATGGCAGGAATGGGAAAAGAGAAAAGTTGAAAATATCTTTTTTTCCCCCACGCTTTTCGAAGATGCACTGTGAAGCAAATTTCCTTGGAATCCTTGGCACACAACTTGGTACCAAAAACACACGACTTTTAGGCGAGGTCGGATGAACATACTATTACTGTACAGAGACCTCTTCTAGTTGTGGGGTAAAGACATTAAATTAAATTAAATAGTTCATCTTTCCTTTTTTTCACTGTGAAGTACCGGTAATCCCTTACAAAGGTTTTCACTTTTTCATGGTATCATATATTTCCCAGCCGATAGCATCCGACAGGTTCGTTGCTGAGTGGCATGATACCGTACCATATTGAAAAGGTTGACCCTCTTCGCCCAAGACAGGGATTATTGGCCAGCAAGATAACCCCCGTCTACTATACTGCCTTATATACGAAAGTTTCTTGCTAGCGCCTGTATGATAGAGTCCGGTACTGTAAGAATTCGATTAATAAAAAGAAGGAAAAAAAAATTTCTTTTCATCCCACCTCACTGCCCAAGAATTTTTGCGAAAAAAAAAAAGACATTGCCAAGTGCGTGTCGTTTTTGGTGATGGAAGTTTTCAAATGGTTTTTCCACATCAACATGCGAAAAATCACTTTCCAAGTCTTGACAAAAACTGGACACACAAGTAAATCCATCAGCTCCTTTTGTACTCTGAGATATGATAGTATCTCTCGCATGCACTCATTCGATTAAACAAGGCAGTTATTAAATCCATGTGATGTCATAAAACATCAGCAAGATTTGTACAGTACAGTACAGTACAGTAGTTAATATTCATTCGGTCCATCGGGTAATGTCATGATCTCCAAGAGTCCATTTATATAATAAATATTATTATTATGTCCTGATCGCATCACCTTAACGCAACTCCCGCTCTTCTTCGTCCACCCCAGTAGAGAGAGTGTGTGTGTGCATTCTTGACAACTTGACCACTCATCAAAAAAAAAAATCTCACTGCACAATTCCGACTAACACCATCGATCGACAATAATGATAATAATAATAATAATAATAAAATCACCGAGGAGCTGCTCCACCGTAGCCTTTACAAGTACTCGAGCGCTCGTACACGAAGGGCGTGGAACCGAAAACGGCTTTACGGGCACTTAGTCCAGTCTAATAAATTACGAATATCCCACAGGTGAGTTGTGCAGACCCTCTTCGACGGCATGCTTCTTCCTCCACCATCATTCTCTACAGTTTCTCGGGCGGCGGGATCGTACAAAAAAACTCGTCGGTGTCGGCGTTTGAGCCTACAAGCGGTTTTGCAGGCGGCAGGCCCGAGTGAGCGTGCATGATCACCATACCTTTCCGCGGAGATTGGGGTGCTGGGAAAATGAGTGATGCCGTGTGAATCACTTTTAGAAATCGGGCCTAGGACGGATATTGGTACAGTGTGGGGCGGGCGGTGTGGGTACGGCATGGGTAAAGGAGTGTATGGGAGAACGTTCCGCTGATATTGAATGGTAAACTACCCCCCTCCTTTTCCTCCTGCTGCAGAAATATAATTCTCTATACGGTATGTAGGTATATTATAGTACAGGTAGAGTGGACCAAACCAAGCGCCGAACATAATAGGACATCGTACCGTATAAGTCAAAGTTACACATACTGCAGCAACTAATACATTCCTCCCATCTCTACAAAGTTAGGGCTTTTTCTTTGGACTTGCTGAGCGTTTGCGCTTGGTCTTCTTCGCCTCCATTGCTCGTTTTAGCTCTTCTATCTTGCCCAGTCGCCAGGTGCAATCCGATTCGAATTCGCATCTCCCGCCTGGGGTTTTTTTTTGTTAGGTAAAGGCTTATCTGAATAGAGGGGGAATGGGCAGCTTACATTTCCACGCCTCCTCAATTTCTACTCCCACGGCTGGTCTCTTACCCTGCCACCAGTCGATTGTATGGTTTAAATGCTCGGTTAATAGCGCCTCGTCATAGTCGAAGGTTTTGGTTTCCATGATATCACCATATTTCTGGCTTCTGTAACTTATCGCCAGGGTGTTACCGATTGTGTTGATGCTCTCTCTCAGTTTGCGCTGAAGGATGCCCCAAAGGCCCCAGAGGGAGTTGTTCTCTAGCAGCTCTTCGAGACTGATTTCGGAATCTAAGGAGGCAATTTGTGCGAGGAGGTTGTCTGAAAGGTTCTTGGAGCCGTCAAGACCGAAGTGCTCCAGAACTTTGGTGAAGTCTACATCACCGGCGTGAAGGCCGGAAAGGAGGTAGCGGTAGAACATTAGTTGAAGGACCGTTGCGCGTAATTGGGAGCCTCCGGGGATGGTTTGGGTGGAGCGGGTTTTGGTGTCTGATACGTATGCTATCAATTCGTGTTCCGAGGTTGAGGGGGGAGAGGAGGTGTTGGTGAGATCGATTGGCAGTAGGACTCCACCATCTGAATCCAAATCTGAGCTTTCATTAGATGCTACAGTTGGGGGTGCTTTTGGTGCCACATATGTTCTGGGGTGTGTATATGATATCTCGTCGATGATGCCTTGTATAAAGTAGCCATTGAGGAACCCAAATACGCTCAGCTCTCTCGTCAACCCACCATGGCGTAAACTGAGCAGCCCTTGACACACATTGAACAGCTTCAACCCCCACCCATCCTCCTTCGTAGTAATCTTCACCTGAACAGTTGAGTGGATCTGCTCTTCAAGGACTTTATGTACCTTCCTACCCTTCTTCATAGCTGGTGTTGAGCGTTTGGACCCCCGCTCGAGTGAATACTCGAACTGCTGCTCACACCACACACCAGATACCAAATCCGTAACTGACAGGGTCTTCCTTCGATATCGGAACCGGGCGAATGGGGAACGGATATCACTTTCGAGGGGGATTCGTGCATCAGTAAGTGGCATTTCCGTCTGAGTTTCAGCGATTCGCCCTGGAATCGGTGGAGTACTGGTGATGTTTGTTTGTTCATCATCTCTTTCTGCCACTCGCTTTGTCGCCGGTTAGAGTTTGCTTTTCTGAAGAAGAAAAATTTTGTTTTTTGCGGATGGAAGGGGGATCATTTTTTTTTCTCACCATTTGTGCACGCGCGGAGGTTAGGGTACTGAATGGTGGGTTCGTCGTCCTTCCCGACAGCGAGCTCGGGGTACCGAATGAGTCCTTCCTCGCGATCCTGATCGATAGAGTCGCTCTGGAAAACTGGAACAAAGACCACCCTCCTTGGACTGGTGGGATTGACATCGTCAATAATTCCCGGAGAGTCATCGTTGTCTATTGCCACCCGCTTCTCTTCACGGCCTTGTTGAGGGAAGTCGGTTGACGGTGGTGTTGGGTCGCAAGTGGTGTTGTCATTGACGTTGCCGTCTAGGATGTTTAAAAGGTCTCCTTCGTCGTCAAGGTTTATATCGCTCCCGTAGTCACTGGACATTTTCGGATCGAGGGTGGGTTGTTTTTTTTTGGGGGCCCTTTTTTTCTTTCTTTCCTTCTCCTTTCTCTCTCTTCTCTCCTATATCTGAACAATCTACAGGAAGATCGTCATGTGGGCTGGGGTGTTTATCGACTTGATCGAGGGTGTTATGAATGTTGGTCTACCGTACCCGGATGCGCGCGCGGTCAGACAAAGAGCGCCCAGGTCAGGGGACGTTGTATAAGAGCCTCATTCGCCACTCAAAGGATGGGAAGCGCGTTCAGATCCTGCCGGGAATGAGACAATGTATTTGTGTGCCACAAAAGCTGCCGGTATACGGTCGCAGGTGGAAGATAGAAAAGACGAAGCATCAAAATCCCTTGTCTGATTGCGATGTTGTGTCCCAGCATAGTAGTATTATACCGGTACTCGCACAGTGTTATCTGGGATCTGATGTGATACTCGGCGGTTCTTTCATTACGATAAGGCATAGACAGGTTCAATGGGAGTTGAAGCTTTCGCCACTCGTGAAATCGCTTGACAGCTTTGTGATTTTTTCCCAAATATCATACCAAAGGGTTGAAGAAGGGAAGACAGCCTGCAGCTATGACTGTTCCATCTGCGACCCACACCCCGACTCTTCGTGTCATCAAGGTTTTTAACCCCTAACTTATGTGTCTTGCCGTGGTGGACAGTGGCGTCAACGAGAACTCGAGAGTTAATCAAGCAAAGCTCAAATTAATAAAGCTGATAAAAAAAAAAAAAAAAAAGGAGACGGTGCAGGGGTACGCCACAGATTTGTTTATTTATTTGTTTAGAATTTAGCTTGTCCAGATGGCCTACGCAAGTTAGACTACGAACTTGGTTCGGCACCTGGCACCACAAGAGATCCATTTTTGCCCGAACCGCACATCGCTGTGCCCAAGCGCAGTACAGTACCTGTGTGTCCAAGGGTTTCTACTAGTAGTAGTACCGGTAGTACTGTACGAGTACTTGTAGATGGGCTTTATTTCTTGTAGTGAGATTGGTTATTTCTATGCTTTCTCGCGATGTGGGTTTCTCCGTTTGAAATTGTTGGTATTTTCTTTGCCGTGAATGATGCATGTGAGTCGCATAAAAAATAAAAGAAACATTGATGGTACTCGAGTGTCATGCAGTAATATCATTCTGCACTCAGAGATGGAAGTAAGGGTCGAGTTCTCCAAGTCATTGCACTGAAGTACGAGTACTTGTACAGTACGGTACTCGGGTATGATACTGAGTTGGCCAGAGTTGTAGAAAAGATCAGCAAGTTAGAGTCCCCGAGAACCCAGACCAGCCTCGGACAGGTGTAGCATGAGACTGATGATTTCTTTTTTGCTCCCCCCTTTTTTGCTTTCTATAGTATCTGAGTCTCCAGAGTTTGATAGGGAATTGGAACTTTGAAACTCTTCCAATGAATAGTATCATAGCAGCTACTGGCTTCCACAATGACCCAGATGCAACTGCTCCGGGATTTTAACTTTCTCCACTGTCCCCCCCCTTTTTTCCCATGATGTCAATTTCATGATTCCCGAGATTCCTTGTTCGTATCCCTGTTTTTCTCGATTTTTACTTGTACTCGAGTACAAGTACTGTACTGTGCTAGTACTGTACAAGTACTTCCACCTCAAGCAGATGGGGTGGCACTCTGCAAGCTTTCTCTTAAGAAGGGACCTTCACTGGTCGCGGCTACTGTATTTCCCGAGTATCTTCCGAGCCCTTAGTCTACAACAGATGGCATCATCAAGCCTCTTTGCTCCAGCACTGGTATGATACAAGTATCGTACTTACTTCCTTACCCCGTGCCTGTATTTCTTATGTTACTGGGTTTTTAGGCCATACCTTACGAGTAGGGTGCATGCCATGGATTTTCCTGTAGTTAGCTACAAATAAACCGCGGACTTGACAAAAATAATAATAATTTTTTAGCCCGTACGGTACCGGTATTGCCCCTACGGAGGTATTATGGATATCAGACAGTTGGTCCCATCACTGTGGCTTGGCGCTACTCTTATCCTACGGGGATCGGTGCTTGTAAGGGTACCGAGTCCAGGGCTGTACGATACTGGCACTGGTATGATACCGTACCTTCGATCAAATATATTATCCTGTTCCTCGAGCACTCGAGTACCGGCACATTATGAACATCTGGCATCTTTCAAGTTAGCGCCGATGCGTTGGACTGCATCGCGAATACGAGTGATTACTGGTATCAGTATCATGGAAAGAAGGTGGTTCCAAGCCTTTTAGACAGTCCAATGAGGGGTCTGGCATTATAAAGTCGAGACATTTCCACTCGTGGTCTGACCAATGGGAGGCAGTTTAATACCATAGACTGGGAAACACTACAGTAGAATAGCCCGAAAGCTTCGCTAGTCATTGTCGTATCACCCATGAGTCGTGTGTGCCGCTGGCCCCCGAACGGGTTTAGAGCACAAAAAGAGTGACATTCTATGATTCTGTTCCTGTTCGCATTGCCAGCCCAACCTGGTTAGGACCACAGGTACTCGAACAGGATTGCATCAACTTTGCATGATCAAAGTTTGCTAACTAATTTTCCCGGGTGGATGCGTAGGGCGCTCTATGACTTCTGGACTCTGATACCGGTGATACGCTATCTCCTGCTATCATAAAAACCTGTCTCTCTGGGGAAATGTGATCCACTGCATGTTGGTTGACGGCAAGTGTGGCGAAGAGAGTGTGATTGGCTCGCAGGTACTATAGCTTCGCCCACTCAGAGAGCAGTATATTGTGGATCCAGGAGGAATAGGGTTCGCATGCCATTTTTCTTCCCACTTACAGGGGGGAGCCAAGATTGGCCCTTCGTCTGGTCACACTATCCGAATTTTGGCCAGTGGGAACTGAAATCGCCTCACTTAAGCCAGATTGGTTGGTCGGAATAATGTGATATTTACTCATTTATGCCCACCCCTCCTAGGTACTCGGGTATAGTCCATATGCGGGGCTGGCCACGGCAAACTTCCGAGAATAAACCCGGATTTTTTTCCAGCTCTTACTGACTGAACTCCCCCCACAAATCTTCCCCTTGGACCTTGATGAAACCTCAAAGCCATTGAGGACTCTTTCAGCAGCAAGCTTCAAATCACTGACTTCGGCATGCCGCTCTGGGGATGCGATTATACAGCCTGTGTGAACTTCGCAGTTCGTAGGCATGGAGACTGTGTGCTCTGTGGAAGGCATCTCTGTTTGTTACATTTGCAGTTGGAGTTTCATCGGTGTCCAAGAGTGAATGTATGTCTTTCTTTTGCTGCTGAAATTCCGTCTGCCACTTTTTCCCTCTCCTTCCTTAGACTATCCCAACTGACGGCTTTCAGACGAAGGAGTACGAGGTTTCCAGTCAAGAAGCTTTGATAAAGGAACTGAGAGCTCTTTTCCAGACTATCGATGTCAATGCCCTCACTGTGATTGCCTCTAAGCTTCGGGGTGGTATCTCCTGCTTCGCGAAACCTTTTCATTATGACAAAGCGTCTCTCCGTCCTGCCATGGGTGCTATCAACCTCCATCTTGAGCTCGTGTTTGATGACGGCATTAGCTGGATGGCAAGACTGAAACGTCGTAATACTTCCACTCCACCAGCAGCGGTACGACCTTATTTGATTAGGAGCGAAGTCGCAACTTATTCTTTCTTGAAGAAGGAAACCAAAGTTCCTGTGCCAGAGGTTTTTGCGTATGCCCTGGATTCGAACAATCCAGTGGGAACGGGGTACATATTGATGGAGACGATCAAAGGGAAGAATTTGCTTTCAGCTTCACCTACGAACGGACAGTTGAGTAAAGTTTTGGCTCAATTGGCCGAAGTCTACCAGGAACTTTACCGGCATCCATTTCCACTTATGGGGTCTCTAGATACTCCTGGATCGACAAATATTGGTCCTGTCCTTCACGACTTGATGGCGGATCTGGCTCTCACAATTAATGGGGGCCGCAATACTCGACAACTTGTCGCCTTTCCGGGACCTTTTATCAATCTGAAGGATTACTATTGTGCACTAATTCCTCGCATTCTCCATTTGATTGTTGTGGGAGAACTATACCCATTCTGGGCTGTTGATGCCTTCCTTATTCACAGGTTCCTTTTCGATTTATTGGGGCAGTGGTCGGAGGACATACAGGAAACTGGGAGGTTTTATTTGCGCCATTTTGATGACAAGGGTGATCATATTATGGTTGATGAAGACTTCAACATCACCGGTATAATCGACTGGGAGGGTGCATACACAGCCCAAAAGACGGAGGCATTCACATCACCGATAGCCCTTTGGAACCCCGAAGAATTCTTTTCCGAGAGAAAAACACTCAGTAATTCTGAGCTTGAGTTCGCGCAGCTTTTGGATGATTCTAGTCACGGGCGCGCGGACCACCCCACTAATATTAATCTTGGTGATTGCGTTCGGTTGGGGAAGATCTTCCAGAGGTTTCGGATTTGCGTTGGTTATACCCTCTATGACGAGGACGTGGAAAACTACAGAAAGGCGTTTATGGGACTTCTGAGGGAATTTTCTATACACCATGAGGGACCCTGGGAGGAGTGGAAAGCCTTTGCTCTCAAAAAATATTCGGGGGATGAAAAATTGGCCTGTTTGCTAAAAAGGGAGGGTTGAAAACTGGCTTGTAGATAGGGGTTTTGTGAGGGGATGCTAGAAAAGGGTTGTGGAAGCAAAAATCGACACTTTTCTTTTTTCTTTTTCAGCGTCTAGCTGCATCGTTGTCGGAATCAAGGCTAATGTTCTTTTTCGGGGTATTTTGCTATCGTAGTTAGACTATTTTTCACTGGATTATATTCTAAGTTGGATATATGTATTTGATTCTGTGGTGGAATAGAGTGTTCAAGCGGAACTAATATTTTCTTGAGAAGACGATGATGAATGAGTCTTATTTTGCTCAAAGAGGGGCTCCGTGTTGTGTGTGGAGGTGCAACTATTCCATTGGCATAAATCCTAGACCCTTTTGGGGTAGTCACGAGCTGTTGCTATCTCTTGGTACTTCTACCGTGCTCACTAGATGGCACCTCCCCTGGGCGATGTTAGGAGCACTTGTGCGTCATAGTATTTGTACGTACTGGCGCTTGCATAAAGTGCCATAGCCCTGGGTGTGTATTGTAGCCCGATAGATCTGCGTTTGAGGGCCAAATGGTGTTTAGCAGCTATGCAGCATTTTCTCAACTGGTGTCTTAGTTTATCATCCGAGTGAGAACGGATGAATCTCACTCCCCTACAAGTATCATAATAATATTATTATGTTGCCAAGCATGCTTACTAATTTTTCTGGAACAGCAGAGATTGTCGTCATGCATGCTGCGTTTGTCAGTGCATTCGCACTCTCAACTGGTGACTGACTCGTCTCTGCACTTTCCACTCAAAGAGCCAAATACCGCCCTTCTCTCTCCTATCGCCTCAACCGAAAAACCGAAAACAATACCCATAACCTCAGGAACTCACTAGCACAAGTTGCCGGATTCTACGGTCATTCCGGCAATGAGCAAGAAGAAGTCATCCTCTCGCGGGGGCAGTAGTTCGTCTTCCCGCCGCGGTGGCGCTGCCTCTGCTCGGGGGGGTAAAGGCGCTGGTGGTCGGAATGGGAGTAATGATTCTGCTCGGAATAACAAAGTTAGCCCTGGGCCATCTTCCAAAACTCCTTATGTTCCCGCAGTGTCCCCGCTTTCATACACATCTGAGGGGCCCGATCTGTCCGAGGTGTCTGACCCTTCTATGGTGGTCCTATTGAAGCTCCTGTCGAAGAAGGACGAAACTACGAAATCGAAAGCCTTAGAGGATCTACAAGTGAAAATTGCGGGCTTGGAGGACGTGGAGGATATAGTTCTCGCGGCTTGGGTGCGCGATGCCCACTTTCCACCTTGCTGAGTCGGAATAAGTTGAGGCGGGATTTGCTGACTTATTCTTGTCGTTGACCGCTTTCGCTTCGTGTTGGTTTCTTCCTAGATTCGATTATATCCCAGATTATCAGCGGATATCTCGGTAGGCGTACGTCGGCTAGCCCACACCGTCCACGGAATTATTTCGCAGAAGAGTGGAAAGAGGGTTGCTAGACACATGTCAGAGGTCGTAGGACCCTGGCTGGCTGGGCTGTACGATAGCGACCGAGGTTCTGCGAGGGCGGCGGGGGAGTCGCTGAACGCGGTATTCGGTACACAGGAGAAGATACGGAATGTCTGGGCGGCATACCAACCAGATATTTTGGACTATTGCTCTAACGTTCTTAAGAATGAGACTGTGGGTTCATTGAGTGATGAGAGACAGGTTTCTTCCGACGAGGCGGAGTCTAAGTTTGCGAGAGTTATAGCTACTTGTGTTCACACGGTTGCGCACCTTATCTGTTCGTTTTCTCCTGCTCCCATTGTTCCGAGTGATTTGGTGTGATGAAACGTAACGTTCTGGCTGCTCATGCAATTGTAGGTCAATTGCCGCCGGAAGAGATCGAAAAGCAGTCTGGGAAATATGAGGACCTTCTTGAGATGGCTCACCTCTGGGAGTTTGGGGGCTATGACGATCCGTATCTCCGGAGGTCCATCTATAGACTACTCAGGACGTGTTTGGTAAACCAAGAGGGTACCTATTCATCCCAAAAGCACTTATCTTAGCCATTGCTGATGACCAATAGGCTTTATTTTATTAAGTTTGGAGGTGGTGGCCAACGCCCTGATGGTAAAGGCATTAATGTCGCCTCAGACTGGTTCTGTCACAGAGCTATTAGATGCGATCCTAGACCTGACTTCGCACACGTACAAAGCCTGGATATCGGTGACACCTCCCCGGCAAAAAGCATCGCTTTCTCTTGTGGTAGAGTTCATAAAATGTGGGAGCCAGGGCGGGTCACCGGAGTATTGGCATAAGGTTTCAAAAATGATTACGTTGATGCCTCGAGAAATTCTCCCGAAAGATGTCGAAGGGGTCACTGAACTCATAACGGGTGTTCTGGATGGGATATGGAGTGGGCCCGAGCCGAGGTCACACATAACTGCCGCCTGGGGTGCATACTTCCGGGTTTGCTATCATATGATGGCGACAGGAGAAGTTGATACTCAGGATGAAGTTACTGCCTATCTCCTGAGAGACGCACTATATCCTGTTTTTGAAGGGTTTTTACTGAAAAATGTCGAGAATGCACAGTTCAAATTGCCGTATTTTGGAGCTGAAATATGTGCTACTGGGATTGCTATGGCAGGGGCGATGGCGGATGCTCAAATCGCTAATCTTGTCGTGAAAGAAATTTGGGAGAAGCTCGAGAGATCTATAGCGGGTAATATTAGTTCTGATACCGATCAGAGAGCAGACTCTCCAGATAACCGTGTAAATCGCTGGCATGGGTGGGTTGACTTCTCGGCAGAGATTCTTCAGAGGGATAGTAATTGTGTGGTTGATCTTGTGAAAGAGAGCATTGTTAAGATATTTCTTTTGAGTCTGGATCGCGTCATCAAGGAAAAAGGTGGATATTTTGGATTTATGTGTTTGCTGAACAGCGAGCAGGGCTAACGAGAAAACTAGGAGAAAATGTCGAAATTACTTCATTGTTGGAATCTTTACTCATGCGATGTCCGAAGCTTCTAAAGATTGAGGAAGTGAAAAAGGTTTGTTTTGTGCCAATTTTGAGAAGATGTAGCAAGAGCTGATAGATCTTAGTCTGTCGCATCATTTTTCGCAGATCATGCCCCGGAATTCATGTCATCACCCTCATGGAGGCAAGTGTTGTCTGGGCTTATAGCTTGCGCTAAGAAAGCCGCTGGAGAAGAATCATTTCAGAGAGCCTGGGACAAGAACATTAGCGCACTATTGATTTCATCCTTAGCGAGGGAAAGAAAGGAGACCGCAGTATTTCAGCTTCTGAAGTCGACTCCTACATTGCTCCAAGGGAAACTGCCATTTGTCCAAGAATTGGACACTTATGTGGTGAATAAAATGCGGGAGAGCATTAACACGGACAACACTATAGGCTGGGGAATAATGAGGGCGGCCATGGCTTCCTCAGGTATGGATTCCTGAAGGTGCGCATTGGTACATATATACTTACAAGCGGCGTAGGAACAGTCATTTCCGAGGCGACGATCTCGACAATGTTTCTGGAGCTGTTAAATAATCTCTCCCCTGAGGAAGAAGATCGCACTATGAGGGTTCTCAAGCAGCTCAGATTAGTGCCAAAAGAAGCCTTGGCAGAGTTTGCGCGCTCGGAGAATGGTGTTGGGTTCTTATCTACGTTGCTCGTCCTGACAGGGTCTCCTTCGGATGAGATTGCGATTGCCGCAGGAAGACTAAATAAGATCCTCGAGAAGGAACTATCTAATAGCTCGGGGGTTCTTGTTAGTTCTTTGTTAGATGTCCTGTTAGAAAGTGTTCTCGAACCGAAGGACTCTGATCCTGGGTATGTCATGCACTATTTGCTCTGGTATTTGAAGATTCTGATTCTTTTTAGTCTTAACTTTCTGGCTGAGAGGGCGCACGATTTGGTCCATCGGGTTCCGGAAGATGAGCAGGTAGCGCTTATCGAGAAAGTTCTTTTTAATGAGGATCAATGGAGGTCTAGTTTGAGCCCGTTCTTGAAGAAAGCTCCAAAGCTGTCATTAGCTATCTCTAATCCCATAGGTGGCGCCATCTTTCTGGTTAAGGATTCCCAAGATGACGCTAGTTCGGGTGAGATAGCTCGCGATCCGGACGGTCTGTCTAGAGTTCTGCGGATGGCTGTATTTATTATCGAGTTTCTCAAAACCGTGGGAGCCCATGAAAGGAAGGATGAAAAAGCTGCGCATATTTTGAGAGGCATTACCGATGATTCGAGAGTAACCCTTCTGAAGTATCTTATGCTGGTTTCAGTACTAGCAAACGACAGCGTTACTATTAGGGAATCAAACCATTTATGGAATCAGCATTCTTCGGGAATGGAAGCCGAGATGCTGGAGTTTGTTTTTGAGTCTCAGCGCTTTTTCATTGAATCTTTGAAGCATGAGCCAGAACCTGAGGCCGGAGGAGCAGATAGGATTCCTGGATATATCTTTAAATTACTGGATTGCCTTATGTGCATGTCAAAGCAGGAGACCCCAGAAGGATTCTATTCCGCCAGGATATTAGAAACAATGATTTCCACCCTTTCCCAAGATGGCAAGATCTCCTCGGCGCAATCTCAGAGCTGGCTAAAGTCAATTGACATCAGAAAAGGCCAAGGGATTTATTGCAGCACAGCTATACTAACAGGGCTTAGCGAGTTGCTGGAGCACACTAAGGAGGCGGAGAAATTAAGAAATGGGTTAGCGAGTGATATTCCGGGCATACCAGCCTCCGAAGCTAGAGAAGCGGGTCTACGAAAAATCGTTTTACTAAACGCAGCGTTACCTAAGCCCGGACAGGACACACCAGCATTACCGCAGCAGCGGGCAATATTCCTTATCAAGCATCTTCTTAGTTGGTTCGAAGATGAGGCGTTCGCGGTGAATCCTAGCTATCCGGTTATTGCGGAGGCTTCGAAGGCTATTACTACGGTCCTGCCGGTTGTCAAGAAGCTTTACGGAGAGCATTGGGAATTGATTTGCGAACATGTGGCTAATTGCTGGGCGGTATGCTGACCTGGTTATATTCTTTTTCCTTTTGGCAAAAGTTAATTTGAGAGATAGATGTGCACCGGTGCTGAAGAGACAGATCTGCCAGTTATTTTTACATCGCTGAAGTTGTTCCAAGCGTTAAAGTCACTGCACAAGGAAAATGATGACTTTAAGGATGCGTGGGATGGGCAGGCTGATGCAATACATGCCTCTTTGATGGGGCTGCTTCGTAGTTCCAGAAGTTTGAATCCGGTTCCCGTTTATGAATATATCAATGGCTGACCGAAGCAGTTGGTGATGAACACGACCAACCTCGTAATCTTTGTAACGCCCTCTTAGCCCGCCTTACCAAAGGGATAGATCTGAGGTATATTGGTAGCCCAGAGGAGACTTATTCACTTCTAAATGTCCCTTCACGCTCAATACAAGAAGCAGCGTTCGAAATTCTCCATCGGCACATCCCTTCAGTACAAGAAGAGGTGTCAGTAGAGGCGGCTTTATCAAAAGAAGAGAACTTTGAACTCTCACTTCCTCAGGAATTACTATCGTTGGTTATGGAACCCCCAACAGGTGACGGGGCACTGGAACTAGATAGCGAATGTGGAATGTCTTGGAGTCTCCGTGGCTACCTTCTAACTTGGATCCTAATCTTCGATCATTTTGAAAACTCCGTACATACACATCCCCTTCCATCATTTACCACCCCCATATCCCTAGTAACTAACTAGTCCAACAGTCCTTCAAAGTCCGAACAGCCTACGCTGAAGCCTTAAAAGACGCTGATTTCCTGGATCCCCTCTTTAACTACACCTTCGACATCCTCGGGCACTCCGGCGGCAAGCCGATCGACGCCTCCAAGCTCCCATTCGAGACATACACTCTCGACTCCTCACTGGAAAACAGCACAAACTCCACTTGGGAAGCCCACCGGCTACTGACACACATCTACTACCGAGCCCTCCGTCACACCCCATTCCTCGTCAAGCGCTGGTGGACAGAATGCAAATCCCGCAAAAAGGTGTTTGCGGTAGAGGTGTTTACGGAGAAGCACATGTCGCCGCTGCTAATCGAGCGGGAGCTCTCCTCCGTTCAAGCTTGGATCCAATCCCACCCCGGGGGAAGCGAAGATGACGAAATGGCCGTCAAGATCCTCAAAGCCCAGACAATCGAGGTGACAGCAACATACCCCATCGACGACCAGTCCATGGAGATGCGCGTGCGCATCCCGCCAACCTTCCCACTGCGCCAGGTGGAGGTGGAAGGCGTGCGGCGCGTCGGCTTGACGGAGAAGGACTTCCGCAAGATGCAGCTGGCCTCGCAGACCGTCATCAACTTCCAGTCCGCCTCCATCATCGACGGTCTCGCCCTCTTCCGCAAGAACCTGGCCCTGCACTTCGAGGGTGTGGCCGAGTGCGCCATCTGCTACTCCATTGTGGCCGTCACCCCCGATCGCAGGCTCCCCAACAAGGCGTGCGCCACATGCCGGAATAAGTTCCATGGGACGTGCTTGTTCAAATGGTTCAAGAGTAGTAATTCTGCGTCTTGCCCTTTGTGTGAGTCTTTCCTTTCTCCCTTGGTTTTGCGCCCTCTCTCTCAGGGATGCTAATGCGTGGTCGGGACGGGACAAACAGGTCGGACGGCGTTCTCAATGTATTCTTGAAGGGTTCGATTGATCGAGCTTCTTACTTACTTTTTTGTTTTACGTTGGGATGTGGGAGGCTATGATGGCGATGCTGGACTATCTTCCCATGTTGTGCTACACCTTCATCGTGCAGCTAAAAAAAGTTTAGTTTTTCTCAAATTACTTTCTTTTTCTTGTGCTCTGGGTTTCACGTTATGACGGGGACCCCCAATCCTGTGATACAACTTACGAACACAGATCTGCGATAATTGTTTTTTCCGCTGGAGAGGGAGAAAAAAGACCATCCAGCCAGTACGACACAAGTACCGTACGGCGATCACTTGATACGAGAAATGTAAAGAACACCTGAGCAATTGTGCCATTAACAAAGCTGCACTATCAGGCTACCACAATACAAGAAGCAATTGAGGTAGTTAGGGAAGGAAGAGCCAACAGCGACAACAGGCAGCGAAGTGGGAAATAGGCAGACAGCACTCCAACGACGACCAGCACAGCGTTCCATAGACCAAAGCAGAAATAAAAAGCCCCAGGTAAAAGACGGGTGCACCCTCCGCATCGTTGCCTATCAAATGACACCAAAGCAGCACCGTAACTTAGAAATGGTGCAGTTTAATAAATAGAACAACGTGACGGGCCTTTTTAGCCCTCAAACCAACCATTCCCGATAGCGTTCACGTTCAGGAGATTTTCACAAAAAAAAAAAAAACTTGAAAGAGGGTAAAGGAAAAAGGTAGAAGAAGCGAGAAAGAAAACTACATCAATATCCCCCGGAATTTTGTTCTCCGCACTATCCACTTAGAAATTGAATTTTAAAGTGTCAGTGTCAGTTTTTCTCATTGAATGTCGCCCGACCCCTACCCAACGCTCGACATCCACCCAAATTCTTCGAAAAATGAAGATTTCGTCTCTGAACAACTTAGGCAACTATAGGCTCAGGAGCGGCAGCCTTAACATCACTCTCGCCATCGACTGCTGGAAAACCAGACTTGGGCACATCAGGAAATTCATGGGAGGGGCTGTTGTTCTCAGGGAGTGAAGATGCCTGCGATTTTTCCGTAGCAGGAGACTTCTTTCCGGCGTAGCCTTGAACCTTTTGGGTAAGTTCAGAAGCAGTGGCACGGGCGCGCACACTGGCATCGTCGATATACTTCTCAGCTATCTGGCGACCGTTGGCCAATTGGGCATTGGCGTATTCATTGGCCCATTGAATCTGTTCATCAATAACCTCCTGATTCTGGAGATAGATCAAGGGGGCAGTAAAAGCAGTAATGGTTGCTAATAACGGTAACAAAATCCTGTTAGCCTAAACCCTGATGGACGCTGCCAAGAGAGGCAGTGGAATGGTCACGATGGGGAAACCGACTGAGGAGTGATAGAGCCCATAATGGGATGTACTTTATAAGGAAATATCCGATGAACGAAACGAAGGATGCCTAGAACAAGAAAAAAAAATTATTGTCAGAAACGAAATCCGGCACCATGGAATGAGAAATATGTTACGCACCACCACGGTAGCAAAGATATTCTCAGCAAACAAGACCCTCTGGAATTCGAGAGCGAAAAAGTTCAAGAGATCGTGAAGCTCCCCGAATAGCCGGTCGAGTGAGTCCCTCGGAATAGTGTAATACGGTTTTGGCCGGATTGATGAAATAAATCCTCTCGTGCCAAAAGGCTTAGAGGCAATTTCTAGAAAAGTCACAACTATCCGTTTTGTGCCTCATGTCAACTTCGATACTTTTCCGAAACACCCGAACCAGCTCATGCAAGCTTATCTGTCAAAGGGGTGCTGGGGGGTAAGGAGACAAGGAGAGAGAAGAACTCACGGAAAAAGAGGATATAGGTAGCCTTGAAAACATAGCGAAGAACATTGACGAAACGGAAGGCGAAAATTAAAGAAATCGCAGCGAAAAAGAAGAATCCGGTTGCACGTGGGAATTTCCACTAGAGGTAATGATGCACATTTACGTCAGCAAGGGGTGGTGGAGTGGGGAACAAACCCCGGAGCACGAAGATAAGGATAGAGAGAGTGAGACAAACGGTGAAAAGATCATAGAAGAAGCTGTGGTAGTGAGTGAGAGGCTGATCACTATCAGTGGTATCACTGTCCTGAGAAGACGTAGAGTTGGCAAGACCTGAAAAGTCGGCCTTAGCGTTCTGGATGGTGGGATGAGATCCTAATACAGATCAGTTCGGCAGTTCACGAGATAACGAAAAGAGAGAGGTAAAGCCCGAATGTTGGAATGTTCGAAGAAAGCTAAACGAGACGAAAAAGTTAGCAAACCTTGGATTCGAATAGAATAGGGGGTTTGCGTCCGTTGGAGTTTATACTAACCTCACCGTTAATGATCTGAACAGCCGCCCCCTCTGGCGTAGAGTTGTCAAGATCAGACATTGTGGTTGTTGTGAAGAGAAAAAACTATTCGAAAGAATAACAGAGGAGGAGCAGGAGATAGAAGACTTGCTCTGAAGTGGGCAGATATCGGTAACAGGATGGTGGAAGTTGTAATAACTTGATAAAGTGGAAGGGGGGGTTGTGAGTGTAGGGTGTGGTGTGGTGTTGTTAGAAGAGAGGGAAAAGGGTAGAGAGGTTAGATGGATGGTGGGAGGGATGAGTAGGAAGGCCGGTATCTTGTGGTAGCATGTAAATTTAACGCACTGTACAAAGTAGGGTAGGCTTCTCTTTGCTATCGCTCTTTTTTTCTTTTTTTTTTCTTTTTTTTTTACCCGACACTCCCTACTTAACTTACTTCTTGTGACAAGCCCGGGAGTGTGTCGTGCGCGACGTTGGGGGAAGTGTCCCAATTACGTCGTGGCCGAATAAACTGACGGCCAATTCGCTACGGGACCATTGTACAAGTGGCACAGTCACTGGGCCACCCCAAGCTGTGAGCTCTCTCGCCAAGCACTGGTGCAAGCCTACGTCAGTCTCTCGCATGTGATGATACGCTGCTCCAAGTGGCTGATGAACTGGCAACGGGCGACAAACGTGATCGAAAAAAAATCCCACACAGGTAGACTGAAGACGAGAAAATCCCTTGTTATTGTTGCACATACTCGAGTAGATGTCACGCCTAGAAGGCTTCAGGAGGAGCAAATAAAGAACATGAATTAAAGGTGCAATACTTTGCTCCGTGTCTGGGTATGATACACTAAAGGTTACCGCTACTATGGCTTCCTACCTCTTCTTGCAATCTGACATCGAGTGGGGAAAAATACTTCATCGAGGAACAGCGGAATACCGGTAGGCAGTTGCGATGTCCACATATCTTTGCCATACAGCTAATTTACCCCTAGAGTAACACGATAAGTGTAGTCTCTCAGCCTCGCTGGTGCACGGCTTTGTGTGGAATGGAAAGTTCCAAGAGCGGAGATAGCCCTCTCGATGTGCTAACGACTACATACTCGTACAGCCTCGGCCACCGACTAGACAAATGATCATCAAGTGAAATCACCATGCCTTCAGAGCCTCTCCAATCACAGCCCACCTCCAGCAGATTTCCTCGAGAAAGTTGCAGCTGGGAACAAAAACCATCAAACACTTTCATACAATTTCACAGTTATCATAAGAGGAAAGTTACCCATTCTAAAACCCGCCACAGTATCCTTAGGTAATGTAGATAAACCTGTAATTGCAAATGAATAATGATAAGCACTAGAAAAGTCTCTTAACTGGTCAATTGCTGACTGGTCCTGAAGGCCTGCGGTTCCTCTTTAATCAACTCTCTCAACTTATTTGTGTTAGCAGTATTTCCTGTGATCGCTCCCTTAGAAATTTCGAGTCCTCGTGAGAGTGCCGTTCCCCTACGAGGGGCGTAAGTTGCAGACTTAGCGAAAACCTTTATGACGGCCGAACGAGGATCCTCGGGATCCCCATCGTGGATTTTATCCCTAAGATCCCTAACCCGTGCTCTGAGAGCGGGAGTGCAGTACCCGAATGATCCCTTTCATCAGAAAAAAAAAGGCGAGGACGGGTGGAAACCGCAAGGAGAATCGATCTATTGTTTAATCTTCTCCCGATCCTTACCGACTGTCGCAATACCCCTGGTCGATGCCTATTCACCCTATATCACTCATCAACTCCTGTTCATCGCGAAGTGAATATCAAAAGCACACTGTTGAATTCTTCGGGAATCCCAAATTGACGCAGGGGTCAGAGCGTAGTCCGTCTGTCTCCCCCATTCCCGTATTCGTATGTAACAAGAAGTCAATTCCGTTCTCCCGCGTCCCCGCCGGCCCCTATACCGAAATCAATGTATGATAGATTGATAAAGCCTAAGTTACCCTCTCTGCCAATGACATACGAGTATGATACACCTGCTAACCAGCGGCCCAGACTAGCTTTTCCTAGCAGCGATCATGCCAAACTTAACGCCTTCCACAAGCGCAATTAGGTCCTCAACCTTCTCCCTGATAGAAGCATTCCGTCCAAGGTGTCCGTGGTGGAGTACTCGAGTAGGTTGCTCTAGCCCTATTCTCCTTAGCGCTCGACATTCTGGTTTGAGGGTGGTTATTATCGAATGAACGTATTCTTGCGGAGATGGAAGCGGAAGTATGTATACACGAGAGTTTGGCCCGAAAGTAATAAGGTCCCCGGAAAGCGGGCGAAGAGCAGCCATATATAACTTGATGTCTCTCCCCTCTTTTTTTTTTTTTTTACGTACCTCATTGTAAAGAATACAGGTGCCGTGGGATCTCCTTGCCGTACGAAAGGTAGTCGGATTGATCATTTATGTCCTTCCGCTCCCCTTCCCCGCCGATCTTAGAGAGAACGGGAGGGAAGGGTTACCGAAGCCAACGTTCCATCATACCCCTATCACAAACCAATTATCAACATTTTAGTAAGCAGCCCGAGCCAAAGAATATCGCAACACTCAACTCAGACTACTCGAGTACTGGTGCTACATTACAGTGCAGCAGACAGGTAACACTGTGGTTTCAGATCTTATTTCCGGAGAAAGAAAGGTGACTGATTCAATGGGCGAGATATCCGTTCCGACAGCCTTACCTGCAACAATCATCTGATCGTAGTTGCTGCCGCTAACAAGTTGAGTGAGCTTGTCGCACTTGAGGTCGTTCAGTAGGCTTTCGACAAGTCGAGAGCAAGGCAGGAGCTCTCAAGCGATGGGCGGTCGTAATAGTCTACCAGCATGCGGAGTACTTTTTACGAAATCCCAACGGCAGTAGTGGCCAGCGAAGATAAGGTGCACTACCCTAGATTACAAGAAGATCAATGGTGATAGTGTGGTTTGATGGCAAATGATCACCCGCGGAGGCCGGTTCAGTCATGTTTGAATATACAGTAGAGAGTCTGTATAGCGTTCAGGAATTATACGGGTGCTGACTGACATATGTAGGGGAGGAGTAAAAGAGAAAGAAGAAAAAGTCTTGCCACCGATCGCCGACCACTTCCCTCAGGGTCCGGGTCTAGAGTCGGATTCTACTACCTCAATCTCCCAGTTCCAGTAGGACAGGAGTTTTTAATTCTCCTGCCCTATGTGATGGATTATTCAATAACTCATTTCCGAGCAGGAATCGAACTCCTGGGCTCCTGCTAAGCGTACAAGGGGGTTAATTGGTTCTTGACATATTAACCACTATGCCAGCTAGGTACTTCACATAATGTTACCATGGGAACAAATACTTATCCTTCTAGTAAGGCGGATTTACGATACCTTTTTTTCTTCACCAGTGGTCAATGAAACTACTCTGTATCGCCAAATACTTTAATTCGTTATGACTCAGTGAAGCCCACTTCATCAACTGTATTTTTTAGAATTGGAACATCTCGCGTACTAGCATCCTTATACCGAACAAGAACTTAAATATCAATAACGAAATCTCAAAAAAGCCATCGCTAGGGAGAATACATAAGATGAGTGAAGCTGCTATGGGAAGTTATGGGATTTTATCACCTGAATGCTTCCTGGACTGGCTGAGAATTGAAGATTCCAAGAAAAGCAGTTGTTCCACACTCCATGGGTATTACACTTCACCATTAGTGCTTTCCTGATATCTCGAGAGTTCCCAGTAGACGCGTAGCCACCGTCATTCTTTAGTGGAAACCGGTAGCCTTACTATGCTCACATCCGGTCTGACAGATGGGGATGAGAAGCGTGGCCCTGCTTTGTCGGACAGTTATCTGTTGGAAAAACTGCTGTCTTCCAAAATTGCAAGACTAGATAGATAGTAAAATTGCGGTCCTGCAGGAACAATCAAAAATGAATCCCGACTCACACTTCAATCCCCCCCCCAAAAAAAACTAGGGTACAATCACAATCCAGGTCTCACTGGAACTCCTACTACAGGTACTGTACCTTGATAATGCGATAGAGACCAAAACATATCAAAATTGCGGGTTTTCAAGCTACCATACCTCTACAGCTATCTTAGGGCCCAACTTTAAAAAAAATTTGAGAGAAAAAAATTAGCATCCCCAAAGTATAATACATGTCACATTCTATTTGTGAAGGGAATATCCCCTTAGCCAAGTAGATCGCTTTCTCAGTCAGACATAGTAGTTATTGAACAGTTATTTGAGGTTAACCAGCCAAATACATCCTTGTCTGTTCCGGTTAATGGGTTCCAACCCTTGTACCAAGCACTAAAAATAACTTATTCTGGTCAGCAAGTAACATGCAAGGGATACTTCAGAGAGCTGTGAATGGGAGAAAAATATACTAGATCTCACGGTTCCAAAAAAGTAAAATAATAAGTTAGACAATCAGGTAAGTGCACAAATATATATACTGTGGAATATGCTCAAAAGTCACCGTTAGAGAAGTATGATAAAAGTAGTATCCCATTATAGTTATACTCTCCAACAGTTGAATAACACTTCGGGTACCTAACCAATCCACTAGTCCTCTTTCCTGATTAGGATGATCCGAACATGGAGGAATAACTAATTTAAGAACCAAGTGGGAATCCAAATAGCAGCCAGTAAAATACACGAAGTAGTTAAAGAGTAGTAAAATCATTCTGTTCGGGGGATAAATTACCATATTCATTCCATGCCACCAATAGAGTATTAAAGCTTTCATTGCGAATCGAGAGCAGGAGATTATCTTAACTTGGAAGCATTTCCATGACTCCCAAGTTGAGACTTTATCGCCAAGCAAGCAATTAATCCGGAACCCCTTCACACAGTCTAAAGAAACATTTCTCACCTCCGATAGCAACTATTCTCATTCGAATAGACGTGATTATCAAAATTGCCCATGAGTTCCGCCTCCTCTATTCCCCCTGAAAACCACTTCTCTGCAGGTCCCATGCATCCAAACGTCGGAAAATCACGAGTATCATATCACACAGCCGCCGATGTCGCCGTCGCGTGGGGCGAAAGAATGCAATCTCCTATTCTCTCTGACCACTTCCATCGCGGCCGGCCAGGAAATCATCTCCACCAGTGCATACCGCAGCTTCAGACAGGAGAGTGCGGATCAGGCGTTTGCGCCCAAGTTCGAGTTATGCTCCATCGTCATGCTACGTCTTGGATCCTCATGGTTGCCATATGATACACCGCGCGCGCTACCGTAGTACCCAGTGTACTAACTCGTAGGCGCCAGCCGGGACTCGTGAGTACCGGTATGTGCTCTACGGTAAGGCAGGAACGAAGCGCGCACAATATTTGATCGTATGGGTATGTGACGCGGTGGTACTCTACCCCTATTCCTCTATTCACTCCCCACGATGACCAACCACCGTAGGTTATGGCAATATCAAATCAAATCAAAAGAACCGTCTGTTCACATTATATACACAAGAATGTAAGAAGAAAAAATCTCTACTTGTACAAACGCTTGGTGCGAGTACTTGTAGAAAGAAGTGAGAATGAAAAGAGAAAACTACTGAAAGGGAAGGGGAAAAGAAAAAAAGAAGAAAAAAAAGAAAAAGTAAGGTTCAGATCCTGTAACGTATGATATGAGAAGGGAGAAGAAAAAAAGAAAAAATCCCACCCAGCAACTGATAAAAGAATTCGCAAACAAGCCACAAAAGGATCCCTGTGGAGGATCGTTAGAACGGGGCTATGTAAGTAAGAAAAAGAAAGAAAAGTATTCGGCTAACTCAAGCCACTGTTGGTTTGGATGAGGGAACAAAAGTTGGGAGGAGTGAACGGCTATGATACGAACAAGGGGTTGAAAATATTCGCAAGAAAAGGTGAAAAGGTATAAAGTTACAACACAAATAAAAAGTGAAGAAAGCAAAAAAAGCGAGGGTTTGTGGATAAAAAAAAGCTAAACGATGGTATAACAAACTCCCTCAAGCAGCAATGATCTCAAAACTTTCCCAGAAACACGAGAACGTCACTCTTGCGCCAGTCTTCCCAACTCCCTTACCATTTTACTTCGTACAGATATTAATTAGGTGTAACGCACAACTATCGTGAATCGACGGCCGTAGACTTTTTCCCCCATCCTCCCCAGAATCCACCTCCGCTGCTTGTTGTACTGCTCGGGGTAGCTGAAGCAGGTGATCCAACCGAGAGATATGAGGAGAAGCTACTGCCACTCGCCGTTCTGTCAAGTCCTGGTGACAAAGGGGGGTCCCGGAATGAACTCGCACTACTGCTTGTGCCTCCTCCAAGAACCTTCCGCAGTGCCTCCAACTTCGCCCTAGCCTCCTCGGCCTCCTGCTTGGCAACCGCCTCTGCGGTCTTACTGGCAACAAGCTCAACGAGGAGAGCATCGGCTGTTGCCGGGGCATTGTTATCTTGGGCTAGAATGGACTGCATTCCTAGGGAACTTGAACGTTTGTTGAAAGTAGGGGTTGGCTGTCCCCGAGTTGAATTAGAACGACCTAGCCGAAGCTCCCTCAACCCTCCTTTCTGTGGCTCTCCCTCGCGATCCTTGAGCTCGGGTGAACCTAGGGGGTGCTTTAGCTCATTAATTGTCTTCTGCAGCTGCTGTTTCTCTCTCTGGCTTTCCTGCCACTTGGATCTGGCATCAAGAAGTTGGCTTCTTAGCCTAACAACATCGGCATCTTGTTCTGCTAGCTTGTTTGACAAGTCTCTAGACTTTAGCTGCTCTCTGTGGATCTGTTCGCGGGCTCGCTGGAGTTCCTCCTCTAACTGTGTGGTAGATGGTTTGGGTGTTATAACTATTTCAGACTCTGCCCTGGTCAGGTTTTCGCTTATCTGGTCACAGAGGTCGCTAATTTCGGCGATACCGTCGACACCCTCCGGTTCATCGCCATCAGGGGGACCATTTGCAAGCAATTCCACCAGTCTCTTTGCTAGCATCCGTTCCTCCTCTCTCTGAGCTTTAACCGTTTGAAGCTCGTCTACCTTAGCAGCGTGTTCACGTTGTAATGCACTCAAGGCCATAAGCAAGTCTTCGATTTGACCATGAAGCTCCCCGTCTTTATTCTGCCTTCGAGTTGATGATATTGACCTGGTCGATATTCTTCGGTCATCAGCGGCAACCGAGGAACATCGTGACAGAGTCGTTGCATCAGTGGTCCCACTACCAGTATCAGATGCATCGAAAGAACTGACTGTTGAAAGACTCTGTTTGGATGGGGTCCTTCTCATTAAGATACTTGCGGGTCGTGATTGGCCGGAGGCAGGACTCAAGCTTACCGGCCCGGGTGATGAACCTCCACCCCACATTCTTCCCAAAAATCTAGAGGCAGCTGCTTGCAAGTCTGAACCAGGTGTCTTGGCTGGTATGGCTTTGATGCCGTTGTCATCAGGATGCTCCTCCTTGAACCTTTTCTCTAAGTCCGCCAACCCCTGGCTAGTCACTATTCCCGTTAGGCCGACGAAGTCCTGGACAAGGTCATTGGCATTGAAGTTATAGGTATCCCATAGCCCCCGAGCCAAAAGCATCTGCATTACGTCCTCAAACTCGGAGGTTGCTAGCAAGCGCTTCTCATTCCGTCTCATAAGTGACAATGCCACACGCATAATAGTCTCCGGGGCACCCTCGGCAAAGATGACGTCGTAAACTCGGAAGAGCATAGGCAGCGGGCAGCTGACGGCAAAGAATGATAGAAACCATTGTGACGCATATGTTGGCTGGATCCCAAGGCGATTGAGATGTGCGGAGAGCTCTGGCAGATGGATTGCAAGGAGCTGTGTGAACTGATACATTCGCAATTGCAACCCGTACATATTCGGCAAGAAGCATGAACGAAGATCATAATGCTCCATAAGCCTATAGAACATGTTACTAACCCCCCTTAAGATCACGCCCTAATGAAGATTGACAAACCTCACGAGAACGCAGAAGGCTTCCTTCTCCCCCATATGCATGAGCAGCGGCCCCACCAAGAAACCAAGACTACAATAGTTAGAAACCACGGGTGCACATGGGGACGGCCGAACAAACCCCTGGCAATAGCCTATCTGCGCATCGTAAATACTAAAGGCCCTCAGCACCCTTCCTAGCATCCTCTGCCCCTCCCCCCCTTCTTGTTTGAACATCTCCAACCCTGTTCTCCCTATATCTTTCCCAATCAAATGCTCGTACGGAGACGTCTCGCCCAGAAGTTGGTCGTAGAGTCCCTCCAAACTACTATCCCTAGCTCCAGACATGGCAATCCATACTACTCCACGGAGCGGTGGGGGAATACCCCCACGTATCTTCTTGCTAAGAAGGTGAGGCAACTTTGAAGCTGCTCTATTGTAATCTGCAACCAGAGCAGCATAGAACTCGAGATCAGTGAGAGGTGGTGGAGTGGGTAGCATGGAGTATCGAAGGGTTTCGGGATCAGGCTTGTCCATCATTCTCTTCAGTTGGGCAAGGGACGGTGGTCGTTCTGGGTGAATGTGTAGAGCTTTAGGATCTTTCTCAAGACGCTTATTCTCTTGTTCCAGTCTAGCAAGGAGAAACGCGGTTCCCTAGATAAATCAAGGCCAGTTGTCAGTAAATTTCTCCCTAATTCCTGAAGGCAGGCAAGAGTAAAATTGGAGGCGGCGAATTCCATGGGAAGGAAAATGGACCAACCTCTTCTGAGGTTTCGTCTTTGATGCTTTCACCCTCAGTTCTCTCCAGCCCCTCCCAGTCAACAGCATTCTGTGAGCTAATGCTTTCAGTACTATATCTTCGAGAGGTAGCCATTTCGTCAGGGGAAGGTGACTCTATTGGTTCCAGGGAATACATGGGTTCTTCTTTGCCGTTGTTAAGAGGTAATTCTTCCGCGTTATCGTCGACGAGTTTAAGTGTCGGAGTTGGAGAAGGGAGGGATCCGAGGGTGGTGTCGGAAAGGCGGACCGTCACCATACTCATAGTAGTTTTTGAGACTGGGGTATTATCGTTTTCTTCAATAGAATCCACATGAGAGCCCACATAAGGTTCCATGGCGGACAGCAAGGTGGAGGGTATGGCGTGTCGTTGTCAAGGTGCCCAAGTGGAGCAGAGGAAAGTAGACGCGTGTGAATGGTCAACGTGGGAAGCGTATGTTTGGCTAGCGAATGAAGTGAACTTCAAAATTCCTAACGCAATGAAAGGGCGAGGGGCATGCAGTTCCGTGAAGTCGGAGTGCAAAGGGATGGAGGGAGAGGAAAAAAAAGGTGTTCTCAAGAATGGTAACAAATCCTTGGGGCATGGAGGAATGCAGGTTAGAATCGCGAATCCGGTTTTTTCTTTTTTTCCTCCCTCTCTAAGAGCGGGCGCAATAGTAAGAGGAGAACTGGTGTGGAGGGGGTAGGATAATGCAGTGCAAGTGGGAGCATGCAAATTGAATCAACAACGAGGGAGGGGTGTGCAAGGAAAGGGGAAGGAAAGTGGATAAGCAGGGACTGTATGCAGTGGCTGCTCTGAGGTGGTGGTGGATGCAGGACCGATACTCGCTCGCTGATATGATAGGAACAAGAGCTACACGTCGCCGTAAATTACGACCAGGAAGGAGAAGGGAGAAAGTTGTAGAAGTGAATTGATTTAATAGTACCGGTAATGTACCAGCAAGCTTCAGCTACTCCGAACAGGAACCCGTTGCCTTGATCATTATTGGAGAAAAGGAGATACAAGTGAAAAAGGACGGACTGATTCCTAGACCTCTTTGAGTTCTTGGCAGTACCCTACTCGTACATGCAGGAGGAAGGAGGGCGAAAAAGAAACGGGGGTGAGACTGGCGCATAGTACTAGTACTTTTGGGGGGGCAGATCTCAATAGGAGAGAATGGGGGAAGAAGCGATTACTGGCCAGGTTCAGCAAGATTAAAAGAGATGATGGGATGAGATGGGTGGTACAGTACCCTGTTGGACGGCACTGTGCGTTGGGCGGTACGGTGCATTAGGATTCATTACCGGTGCTCCAAAAAAGACTAATAAATGAGATACGGTACCGGTACCATTACTTTCTTCTTTCGTTCCTCCTCTTCCACTCCCTTCCTCCTTTTCCTCCCTCTTTCCAAGCACTCCTCCGCTCTTGGAGGCATTTGAAGCAAGAGCGTGAACTCCATCTCGGGAGCACTGATACTGTACTGTACTAGTACAACACATATCGGTACGCCAATTGTTCGCATGTGATTAGATTCAGGGGAGCATCTAGCACCAATAAAAAAAAAAAAAGACCAGAACCACCAGCAAAAAGCCCTAAAAGAGCCCACTGTGCATGATATTATGATACCGGTATGATAAATCAAAGTGTCATATCATACCGGTAATAAGGTACTTGTACCCTTTAACCCATACACTAGTGCAGTATAGATACTTGTCTGATACTTGTACTAGTACCCAAGTATCATACTCTACGGTATGGCGGCTTAACACCTTTGCGGGGTCACTCGGTTAATCTTCGGTCTCGGATTAAGTCCCACCCTCACCTTCACTCCTCTTCCTCCCTCCGTTTCGGCCTCTAGCATACCCCCAAGCGAGATCTTCCGGCTTTTGAAAGGTTGAAGAATAGTCTATATCTATACTGTGCTCGAGTATCATACTGTCTCAGCATACTCAAATGACATACCGGTATCCCGGTATCCCGGTGCACCTGACAGGTTACTACGCTGTGACAAATCCTCGCTTATCAGCCATCATACCGGTACTTACTGTACAACCTATCCTCGCACCCCCGATGACCACCTTAACGTACCGGCATCGTACACTACCGTACTTTTCTCAAGTCCTCTGCTTTCCTCCTTGCTCAGCCGCAAGGGTTAGCAGAGTATAAAATAGAAACACAATCATCACAGCCATCGCCCGATAAGTCTACTGGCTCCCTTCAGAACAAAAGAAAAAAAGACAATAGCGAGAGAAACTCCCTCGATCAAGATCAGGAGGAAAAGCGAACCAGAACTGGTATTCTATTCTCGGCTGCTGCATATACCCAAATCCGTTATCAATAGCTTCACCCCCACGTGTCCGAGGCTTCGCTGGAATGCTTTTTATAAATAAGAACAATAAGGATGGCAACCCTCTTCTGGTTCAAGATCTCTTTCAGCCCCGATTATTCGTTGATGGTGGTTACTGGAGCGAGACTCGATTATTTTCACCGATAAAGATAAACCCAGTCAGTGATTATACGACACCATACCGCCGCCCAAACCTTCATATTAGGAGCTTCGCGAGCCCTGAGAAATTCATGGCACTGCACAAACCGTGGACGCTAATCGCCAAACGGTGAGAATAGACCTCCGCTGGCCACCAAGATCAAGCTTTGCCGGGCTCACTCTAAAAGCAGGATGGGATGCATGCAGTAGCGAATAACGATCAACGACAACCAAAGACTTGTAAGTTATGGATAAATTGATTGAGCTTTGCTGTCACCAAAGAGGCGTTCCACGATACCCCTCGGCTACCGGTACTCTGTAGCTATCGATCAAAAAAAAAAAACCCGCCCATATTAACTTATCATATCGATTCCAGGTCTGATGTCATAAAGGTTAACTATTTATATCCCTCCAGTGACAATCCTTCGTGAGGCTGACCATCGGACACCCACTTCTACCAAGTTTACACCAAAACTATCGTCACTATTAGCATAAGGTCCCTTGCTCCGCCTCAGGTCTTGCATTTTGAGATGGGGTGGGTGACCATTCTTTCACCTAAGTGCAGTTATGCATCGCAGGTGGTCGAGCTCCATTGCTCACAGGCTATTTTAAGAAATGAATTCGGTTTATTCTTTTGTCGCGGCCCTTACATTTAATAAACACCGGGAAGTCTAGATTTTCAACCGCCAGTACACTGCAGTGCTTGTACTTTTATTTGCGCTTTCTTAACCTTCTGCCGGATACAAACCCTCTGGACCAAAGTACAGCTAACAGCATGCGACAATATGAGTTCGAGTGACCTTTAATGACAACTGTAAAAAGCCTTCCACATCCAGTCCGCGCCCCACATTGGCCATACTCTACATGAGCAGCATTGAATGAGAGAATTCCCTGTCCGGGTATGACGCCCCTCACACCGAAATTTTGCACGACTCCTCGAAACATTGGTATCATACAGTGCAGCAGGAAATAGGCCACCGGGTGCTATGATATCTTATGTCACTTCTGTATCCGCCTGCTGAACGGGCGTTTGTCTCAGGTGTGGAGGGGTGTTTCTCAGCAGCAAACGAGTGCATCGAGTCACGGTTCTGGGAAGTCATGCAAGCCTGAAGCGTTTAGGACATGCCTGGCTTACACAACGTTCGACCCGAACTGCCAATGCACCATGGGGTACTGTGCCGAACAGTGTGGCCTAAGGCCAATGTTTGCTCTCGAGAAACAGCAGGATGCTCGACGGATTAACGCAGCAGAAATAGTTTATCACAAGACCCAAAGAACCAGAACCCCGTACGAGCAAATACACCAAGGCCAGTGACGGGGCCGTACTTCGTTCTATCATACCGCGCCAGATTTCGCGAACCAGCGGGGTAAATATTTCCAGTCTGCTCAGCTTACCCAGAACACTCCCGCGCCGCCCACAACCCGCGCAACGCTCATACCCTCCGCTCGGGGATGCTGATGGGTATCTAAGAACCCTTTCCTGTGGTCCACACAATTTTCTCCGGCGACGAGTGTGCCAAACTCCCCATTTTATCAGCACCCAGGAGTATCTGGAAATAGGATAATATGTCGTTTTTGAATCCCGGTACTTCGATCTCTCGGCCTATGCTGTCAACGCACTTTTCCATAGCGTCTCAAGCACCAAGGAGCAGATTAATACGTGATAAGTCGTCGCATTTAGTGTGTCATCAATACCCATCACGGCTCTTGCAATCAAATCACGCTTATGATCCTCCGACAGCAGGTGTCACGAGGGTAAATAAGGGGAGGAGGCGACATGATACTGTATCAAGTCAAAATAGAGAATCCCACCTGCCTAATCATCGCTTCATTGATTGAGGTGAATGGGTGCCGCATGCAATCGAGAACTATTGTGTGAACAAAAACCTGTGTCCACCCCGCAGCCGGGAAAAGGCTATCGCCACCAAGTCCCTCCAGTATGGCACCGACCGCGCAACCTGTATGAGTACGATGTCTACCTACCTCTTTAAGAGAGAAGCAAGGCAACCAGGTCGAAACACATGTAATTTACGCTGCAAAAGCATAAGAAATCTTGGCGTTTTCCGGGCCTAAAAATCGTGCGGATAAATTTGTAACCCGCAAGTACTTGTGGATTTTCGAGGGCGGCAAACATGTCTATCGAGTGATAAGTTATGAATAAGTGTTGGATGCACCGTGCGAGGGAGGGGGAATGTCGCAGTGGCGCGCTTTTGTTGGTGACCATTGCTTACTTAATACTTTGTGCTGGGGGATTCTTCAAGTGCCGTATTGCAGTATGATAACACACTCCCGTTGGTTAACTCATGTCTTGGTTGCTGTAGCATCATACTGTTCCTTGAGAACTCTTTCTACGGAAATTAACGCATTGGCTTATAATAGGTTTGTTTTGGCGAGCTATTATACAATATCGTAATTTTAGTAATTATTTACTAGGTTGTAACTGAAAGAGGGCGTTCGGGCTGTGGTAGATAGGAGGGGTGCTCGTACTTGTGTTTCCGGGTGATCTTTTAGGCTTCCTCGCTGTGAGGACTTAGAAGCTGTTTGGCCCACTGTTATTGGAAATCAGAGTACGGTAGGATGGGATTTGGTATACTTTGTTGTTATTCGTATAATAATATTATGATAAAATGTGTTTTGGAAATTTTTCTAAAAGGTGTGGGGTATCATGGTTGTGATAATAATACGGTAGAGTCTGCGGTAAAAAGAATCGGAAAATGTGGAAACGAAATCTTGGAAACACGGTTGCTCAATTGGCTCGAGCGCACTGTGTCCAATAAAACCCCCTAGAAGCTTTTTCGTCATCTTCCGATTTTTTTTTTTACCACAGGCTGTATATTATTATGAAAGAAAAAGGGGGTGTTAATAGTACTTG